GCCCTGTCGAGGGGTCATTCTGTTCACCCCTTGGCTGGATCATTCGAGCAATTTCCAAGCATGATACGCATAATACTGAATCCAAAAGAAGGAGCTTAAAAGAAAGGATTTAGTGATTTTTATCGTCCCATCCATCCATCCACTCACTCACTCATGTATTCATTCATTCATCACAGGGCTCCGGAGCACTGCCGTGGTCCCAGGTCCCCCTGGAAACTGGGCACCCAATGGCGCAGGAGTCACGGACTCTGCCTTCGGGAAGCTGTCAGGCCGGTGAGAGGGCAGGACCCAGAAGCAGACCAGGCGCAGTGACGTTCCCATGCTTTGCAGTGAGCGGCTTGGTGGGCGACCTGGAGTACACCGAGTTGCAAAGGCTCTGATTTGCGGGTTAATGATCTGACATGCAGTACAGTGGTTTCTCTAGTGATCTCTGCTATTCTGCCTCCAATGAAGAAACCTAATGACAGGACTTCCCTAAAAATTACCTATGAAAAGGAGCACCTGAGAAGAATCACAGAAGATGACCATCCTCGAGATATGCAAGAACAGTACCGAGGGTAGTAACAATAGTCAATAACACGGACAGAACGCGTTCAGTGTGTCACGTACTGCGCCAAGCGGTGGACCGTAATCAAACACCTGAAAACTCCTTCTCCAAGTGTCCTGTCTTGGTTCAAGATGTCACGCGGCCCAGTTAGGGGCCCAGTGCTGGCCATTTCGAAGGTGAACTTGAACTCCCTCTTGTCCTTCTGTTTCTGCCGCTTCCCCGCCCCAGTTCTGATCCCGCTTCTCTTCTGACCACAGCACAATAGCCTCCTAACCGGTCTCTCCGACCGCCAGTCTCACCCTGCTCCCAGCCACCCTCTGCTCTGTGTCCTGATGATTGGCCCCTTGTTTCTGCCCTGCTTCCGAGCTCTGCAGGGCTCCCCAGTGTCTGCAGACCTCTCACCCTGGAGGTCAAGGTCCCCCTGGAGAAGCTGGTCCCTGCTTATGTAACGTCTCGCCCCACCGTCTCAAGGGGTGTTAGCTGCACCAGGCTGCCCTGTTTCCTAAACCCGTGCTGAAATTTCACACCTCTGTGCCGCTGTTCATGCCGTTCCTCTCGCCTGAAATGTCCTTCCTCTCTCTCTGTGCCCTAGAAACACTCCCATTCTCCGGTGCTGACCTCCTTCTCTGTGCGGTCATCCCGTTCTCGGACCTGGTTCCCCACGGCCCCAGCCCCTGTGCCCTGCGGCAGATTGAGGGCCTTCTCTCCACATCGAAGGCACTTTGCAAATGCTTTCATTCTGGCATTTACCGCAGGGCATGGCTCTCACGTGCACACCCTCTCATCGCGGGGCGGCTGTCCCTCAGGGCTCCCCCCACGCAGCGCGCTATTGGCCTGCGCCAGGCGAAACTGCTGCACACAAATGACCCCGTGAGTCACAGAACCATCCCCTCACACGGTGCCCTTTCCCTGTCTCGACACGGGAGACCCCCAGGGCCCTCCTTACCTGGCCCCTGGATTTCCGCTTCTCTCCCCACCTCTCCGACCACTTCCCCGAAGTCCTTTCCCTCCTCGACAGCAACGTCACCCTTCTCCAGCGACTGTGGCTTCGTGCAAAGCAGAGTAGCTCCTTCCACATCTGAAACCTCGCCCTCTGAGTCGGCGCGGCATCAGCGACCGGCGAGTGTCAGCCCGGGCCGGGGCTGCCTTCCACCTGCGCCACGAGGAGACCCTGAGGGCAGTGTCCCCGCATTAATCATGGCAGACCCCTCCAAGCCTGGCAAACTCTCGGAGCGCGGCGCCCCTTACAGAATCCTGAATAAGATCCGAGATGAATGTAAACTGAGATCCACACAGGACAAGCCCAGAGGCGGCCAATTCAAAGTGTTTACAGTAGATGGAGCTGTATGTTTCCCTGTGGTCTGCTCGGAATCTCATACATCATGCGGAATGATTGCCAGCGTGGCAGTTACTCATGATACTTTTTGCTGAAATAGACTGAAAGCCACGCGGCCCACCTGCCCTGTTCATCCTCGTGAGCTCTACATTGTTAGAAAATGTCAATAAAAAGTTTCCTTAAAAATTGTGCTGCAGTTAAAATCAGTTGGTACAAATAATAGACTTTTTTAAAAGCCAGAGGCAAACCCTCATGGAAGCCGCGGACTCTGGGTGATACTGAGGTATCCGTGTGTGTTCATTAGTTGTAACAAATGTCCCACTCCGGTGGGAGGTGTTGATGCAGGGGGCAGGTTTTGTGTGGGGGGAGGGCAGAAGGCATGGGGGAATCTCTGCACTTTCCTCTTATTTAATTGTGCCATGAACCTAAAATTGCTCTAAAAAATAAAGTCTTAAAAAAAAAAGAGCCAGACACACAGTATCTTCACCACTCCGATGCATGAATTAATTCCCTCCCTTCCTGTCGGTCTCAGTAGCTGGGACGTGGCTGCCCAGGGCCAGAGAGGCCTGGAGTGTTGAAATGCTGCAGTCCGTCCAGAACATTCGAAGGCTGTCAGGACCTTCCAAGGGTCAGGGCAGTGGCGCAGAAAAGTGTGCAAGTGAGGAATGTTGGGTAGGAGGGGTTCAGTTCTAAAAACACAACAGTCGAGGCTTTAAGTTGAGGCTTTAATAGTTAAGAATGTTGTTTAAGAGGCAAAGACACAAGAGTGTAATGACCGCCGATCACTGGGAACATGCACCCTTGGGTTCCTTCTCAGGCACTGTCACGGGCAGAAGCTCATTTCAGACCTCAGAGCAGGGCTGTCCGTATTCCCACTTCACATTTGAAGAAACGGAGGGCCCGGGACAGCGAGGGGAGCTCTCCTGTCCCGTTTTCTCCCGGACCCCCGTCAGGGAGCAGCCGGGGCTCCCAGCCCCAGGCCATGTTCTCTGGCTAGGGTGAGCGGGAGGGACCCCTTCTGGGGGCAGAAAAGGCGGGGCAATGTGACAGTAAAGGTCTGGTAGCCCCAGGTCCTTTTCCTCCACTGGGTACCATGGGAATGAATTCACTTTTCCCACCCTTAACCTTCCCGTGGGTGGGATGGGACCGCCCTCCTGGGGTGCTGTGGCGGCTGGATGATCCTGTACCGGGCCTCCAGCTGAGCGCTGGGGAGGGCGAGCAAGCGATGGGGGCCGTGCCCCATGCACAGCACTTTCGGGCTCCTCTGACCTCCTCCAGGGGACACGCCTTATCTTAGTCCTGAATGCGTCCCCAACATGTTCCGGACGCATGTCGCACGCACACACTGTCTGCATCTGGCCCGCACTGACAGCCCAGACTTAGGCAAGTGCCACGAAGGTGGCTAGTTGCCTATCCTGCCTACAGGTGGTTTACTCTGCATGGGGTCGGGTCAAAGGACATCCTTCCTGATTCCCTGGCAGCTGGGGTCAGCGACACGGGTTGGCAATGAGCTGACAGCTGATGTGGTGTGCGGTTCTTCTGGAAGTCTCGGAGGCAGGGGCGGCCCGTTCCCACGGCCCAGCACACGGACGTGTGGTTTGGAGGGACAGACAGATACCAAGCTGCTGGACCAACCCTGGATTTGATGGCCTCTCTCTTCAAAGGCAAAAATAAAACTTTGATTGTGTTTAAGCCATTGCTTTGATGGATTTTTTTTTTTTTTTGGTCAGAGGCAGCTGAAATTAATCCTAGATGTTATGGGCAATTAATGGAAATGTGAAGATGTCACCCCATTTTCACATCTGAGGTTTTTGTGGCATAACCCCCAGGCCAAAATAAGACGTAAGCCATGGCAACCAGGATTAGCCTGCCAGAAGGTCAGTCAACTCAAGTCCCTCCAGGGGGTCCCAGCTCACTTAGCGGGGAGGCCAAGCTTACGATGTCCCCACCTGACCTGCCTCCCTTCGCCTCCTCTCCCGCCTCCCCCTCCCCCTCTCACTGCTTCAGCCACCGGGGGTCTTCGTCCTCCTTAAAAACACGAGTCATGACCTCAGTGCCTTTGCATCTGCTGCTCCCTCTGCTCGGAAAGCTCTTCCCGGAGAAAGTGGAGTTGCTTGTCCCCGCATCTTCCAAGACTTTAGCCAAACACCTCAGAGACCTTTCCAGACCACTCTGTGAACATCACCTCACCTCCACAGTCTAATCTTCCTTCCCCGTCTTTCCTATAGCACGCACTGACACGTATCTGACACACCGTACGGTTCACTCACTCTGTTTCCGTCTATCTCCCGGCTCCCGAATATCAGCTCTGTGAGTACAGGGACTTTGGCTTCACTCATCACTCTATGCACAGCAGCCAGACGGCGCCCGGTGCCTCACACACGTGTCGTGCATCTTCGCCGCACCGCCTCTTACTCGCTTTCGGTCCCTTCTTGCCTTGCCCTTGCTGCCCTGAGACTGCGCCCACCCCCCAACGATGCCTTGGCACCCACGCTCGACTCGGGCTCTGTTTTCTGGGGAGCCCAGGTAACCACAGGGACTTGCTGTAGGTCACACAGCTGGTAAGAGACCCAGGCACCCGGGCAGGCAGTCTAACTCCAGAGCCATGGTACTTCTTCTTTTTTTGTTTAATTTTATTTATTTATTAGAGAGGGAAGGGAGGGAGAAAGAGAGAGAGAGAAACATCAATGTGCGGTTGCTGGGGGTTGTGGCCTGCAACCCAGGCATGTGCCCTGACTGGGAATCGAACCTGCGATGCTTTGGTTTGCAGCCCGTGCTCAATCCACTGAGCTACGCCAGCCAGGTCTCCATGGTACTTTTGCTACTATTATTACTACTGCTGTTACTGCTATTACTAGTGCCAGTACTACCACCACCACCACTACTATTACTACACTATTACTATGACTAGTAAGACTGCTATTTCTTCTTGGAGCTTCACATGCAAAGGCTCAAGGCAAGTTAAAAGGTAAAAAGAGATTGTTACAATCTCTACCACCAGCTGGTTTCACTTTTACCCTGGCAACAGTCCTCTTTGTCAGGACAAAGGAAAGACAGTGTCCTTTCTGGTTGGCAGAGACACAAATGCACATGGAAATAAAAATTATCAGTGAGGCAGTCGGTTCATGAAATTTATACTCAAAAATTTTCTTAAGAATACATGTAATTTTACAAGACCATTCATCGTAGCACCAAGCCTAAAATCCCTTAATAGAAAACAGTCAGCAAATACTCCAGTTAATTTCCCACAAGTATAAATTATGCAAATAGTCATTTATATCTTCATTTACAGTCATCAATAAATAAGAGTGCACATTCACACCATGTTTTACAAAGATCCCCTTTTACAAAGCTACAGCTATGTGTATACTAAGTAGACAAAATAACCCTTGTACCACAAAATAACATTTCACTGTTTTCAATAGTTCTCTTAGAGCTCTCAGTAAAAATTTTCGCACATTGTCCATTAAGTCTTGCATGGCCTTGAGAGAAACTGTGGCATTAACTCTGAAACACACATTACCGACCTTGAAAAAAATAAACACATATTACCATCCAGTACAGTACACCCTGAACAAACCCCTGATTCCAGGCATAGTGACTCATCCCAACCGTGTACAAGAGGGCAAGACCACTTTCCCAATTTCATGGCGTCTTTGGCTGATGTGACCAGCACCAATGCACATGGTACAGGCAGCTATTTGATGGTGCAATTTCAAGGGTGAAGGGCTGGTCTCTTTCTCACGGCCCTGACCAGTGCCAGGCCACCCCAGGGACATTCCACACCAACGTGCCAGCCTTTGACATAAGGGACCCAGTACTAGACCGCAAAGGGCCTTGGGCTCCGAGGGGACTCTCTGTGTCCAGTATTTTGGGTCTGCTTTGGGGGTGGCGTTGGGGGGAAGGAGGGAAGCAACAAGACGGGAGAGGCAGGCAGGTCCGGTCAATCACCGCTATCTATCCCCACAGCTGCACGCCTCGATTTGATGCACTTCCCCCGGGAAGCTGCCCCCAGTGCTGGCCGAGGAGCCCGGTTCGGTTCCAGGAGCCCTCGGAAGCAGATCTCCCGCGTTCTACTCCCAGATTTCATCCCCACGCCTCTAACATGCTACCTTTTATGTTACCAAACCCCCCTAGGCACCTTTCTTGGATACAAACGCCGCAAGCAATGCTTTAAGCTTTGGAATTCACTTAGAAATACAGAGGTACGTTATTTTAAGCAAATAGGCCACTTACTGAGATTTTATAAAGATAATCTAGGTTGCTAACCTTTGGATTTTTTAAATCTAGGACTTTTCAAAACAGGTCTCCCAACTTCCAGCCCAGAGAGGTGGATTCAAGGCGTCACTGCAGATGAACCACAGCTAGGATGTGGGTTCCCGACGCCTGGGCCAGCTCGTCCTCCTCCGGAACAAAGTCAGCTCTCCGGGTTACAGACACTCCCAGTGTTCCCTTTAAAAAAGGGTTTCCAACCTTGCGTGACGTCTAGGAATCCGGGCCTTTGGGGCTGTCCTCTCTTGTAGCATCATTTGCAGAGAATAAGCTTGTACTGAGTTTTGGTGGGACCACTATAGAAGTGGTTGCTGCTGCAGAAGGAATACATCTACCAAAAGCTTTTCCTATTTGTTCTTTTTTTTTTTTTGCAACAATGCAAAAATCACCACTTTTAAACTTAAAGGGGAAGTTACGATCCCCATCTCAGACCAGACAGTTAGGGCTTCATCCAAGCAATCCACGTTCGCGGTCCCACTTCAACTGTGGGGTGCCCGGCCCAATGGAACGGATGTCTTCTGAAAGGGAGAGCCGGACACCCTACTCAGAAGAGCACCTGCTAGTGGTGGAGGGGGGAGTAGCAGGGGGCGCGGCAGGACGCAGACTTCACTGAAGTCGCTGAAATCTTTGATGTTGAACGCCGAGATTTCACTAGGACAGGCCCTGCTGACGCACGTGGTTGCAAATTCGCCACCACAGGCTAAAACAGGAACCTGGGGCCTCCTCCGTCACTGTCACGTGAGTACTAAGGAGCTATTTAAGCAGTCTGCATAGGGGGCTGGGGAGCAGGGTGTGCAGAAGCGTGGGGACAATGGATGCACGGCGGGCGGGGAGCTGCAGGGTGCCCTGTGAGGTCTGCCCCCTGCTCACCTCTGAGACTTTCCACCCACCACTTGCCCAGGAGGCCAAAGTCACTGAGAATCAGAAATCTCATTAGGGCACAGCTTTATTTGCTCAGCAGTGCTGCCTAGGGTGAAAATCGGCATCTGAAAAGGAGTCCTGTGTTCCCGGGCCTACTGCGTCCTCGCCCGTGACCTTGCTCTCTTTCCTTCCTGTGCTTTAGTTTCCGCTCCGGGCTAACCACCTCCCGCGATTGTTGTAAGGGTCGGATGAGTTAGTGGGCACACGATGGCTTCAACTTCCTCTTGTAAAAGGCGTGCGTTAGATCTGACACCCAGCAGCTGGCCAGATGAGGGTGGGTCGGGGAGAGGTTAGGAGGGGCCACGGAAACGGAATGCCAAGAAAGGAGGGGCATTCGAAGCCTGGAGAGGGGGGAAAGGGGGACCGAGGAGCTACCGAGCGTTTCACATCCTATCAAACGTGCCAGGGAGCTCCAGGTCATTCAGCAAATACACACCGAGGGTCTGCTCTGCAGCCAAGATGCTCGGAGAGCTTGACTGGCCCCGACCTCCCAGCTCTCTGGTGACAGAGCCGAGATGCGAACTGACCTCCGGCTGACTCCCGCGCCTGCCCTCCTTTCTGACCCCACAAAACGTCCTGCAGAAGGAGGAAGTGACCTTTCAAGAAAATGGGTTCAGTTAAAGGGAGCCCTGCCAGATGACAGCTGGACGTGACACCTGAGTGGCAGGGAGTTTTAGAAGTTAGCGGAGGGATCAGGGCCAGAGACGGTGGCACCGTGAGTGCGTTGAAAGGCCATGTGCTCCCACAGCACAAAATACTGGTTGTTTTCTTCCTTATAAACAAGAATGTTTTCTGGCTTGAAATCACAGCCCCGGGCTGGGAAGAACTGCCACCCTGAGGTGTCTTCCCAAGATCCTCAGAACAAATTGTAAACGCGAGTCGGTCCCCCTGGCACCGCGAGGCCTGGCGCTTGCAGGAGTGGGAGGAACCCCTGAGCCGCGGGCCTCTGCGGACTCTCGGAGAAGCCGGAGCTCCGAGTCTCCAGGCCCCGTTCCCCGATCGAGCTCCCTCTGAGCCCAGGCCCGTGCACAGCGGTGGGGAAGTGACGAGGCCTGAAGACCGCTGTGTCACCTGGAAAGATCAAGAGCAAGGAGGGCCGAGCGCTCACGTGGGGCGTGAAGACCTGGTGGCGTCTGATGGGAATGAAAGATTCCGGGTGCAGTTCACACAAAGCCCACGCTTCTCGTGCATCGGGCGCCCCTCCCTGAGCAGCTGGCTGTCGTTCACGCGCGCGCACACGCCCCACGAGAGGCAGGGCGGGGCAGATCGGTGGAGCGCAGCGCCCAGCACAGAAGCCGCGTCATTTCCTGGCTCCCGCACAGAGCTGGCTAACTGTTAAGGCAAACTCTGCAGCGATTTCTAGCAAATGAGCATGATGTCACCCATGCCAGCTTGCAGCCGTCACCCACCCGCCCCAGCACCTGGACGTCGTCGCCGGAGCAGCCCCACTCTCGAGCTGGAGGGGCCAGAGGAGGCACCTGCTCTTCGTGGGGGATCCCAGGGCTTCAAATCTCCCCCGAAGGCGGTTTCGGCAGGGACTGTGCGATGTCGGGGCCGGGAGAGCTCTGTGCCGGCTCCCTGGCCAGAGGGTCACCGAGAAGGTTCTGAGAAGCCACATCGGCTTGAAGCTCTGACACAGCCCACTTTGGGGGCCTTGGGTGGTAAAGCTGACTGTGGGTGGCTCCCTGGGCAGAGGTCCCCGAGGGAGGTCTCCAAGCAGAGAGGAGAGAGGCCACGTCTCAGAACTCCGGTGGGGTTTCTGGAGACCTTCCGGGCATCTCAGAAAAACCAAGCTCGCACGCAAGAGTTCACAGGACCACAGTCCAACGACGGAACCGCACAGACCCGTTCTTACCCAGAAGCCGTGAGGCATTGTCATGAGTAAGACCCGTTCTCCCCTCGGTCACTCTGGCGTGTGTTTGAGAGGTTCGCCCCGGGCTGTTCTGAGTCCTTGGCCAGAAGCGGAGGGCAGGTGAGCTTCAGGGGCCGGGGACTGCAGTTTTGCAGAAAACCTAACTGGGAACCCGGCTGTCCCTCTGGGGGGCACCTACTAGCAGTGTGACTGTCATCTCCACGTCCCAATCTTGCTTTCTCATTTCTTAAACGAGGTGCTGGGCCCTCACACGGTCCCCGAGGCTATGGAATAACCTGCACTTTTGAGGAAGGACTCCCCAGATGCCTCCAAGTGCTTCTGCCCCCCACCGTTTGGCCTAAGAGCAGGCAGGCACTGCACGGAGAAGAGTGGGGGGAACGACGCTGAACCCCAGACAGGGAGACGCACTGTGTGTCCTGGGTGGCTGTCTAGAGGGCAGGGAGGACATCCTTCCCAGTGCCCGGTCCCGGCCGGTCTGGCCAGGAAGAAACACCCCCCAGCTCCGTCACAGAGGGGCCACCCTGTTGGTTCTCTGGCCAACGCCAGCGTGGACTGCTGGTCTCCGAATGCAGTGGGGGTGGCAGAGAAGACCTATGAACTGTATGAGCTTGTGGAGAGGCGGGAGATCTGAAATTTGGGGGGGGAGGGGTGGAAAAGGGGGCTAGAGGAGAATAATTCTTTGCAGTGTGGCATTCAAGAGAGCCCGTGGGTGCTATTTCACCCTCCTGCACGGCATTCTACAAAGGCACCCAGAGGCCGCGGCCCGGCAGGATAGACATCCCCAGCCCTGGTTGGACTCAGGGCGAGTTCACAGACAAGTCCACAGAGCACGGAGCCACCTAACAAAGTGGGGAGAAAGCTCAGATGGGACCTGTGATTCATGATGCTGTGTTGAACATGTGGGCTGCTTTCTTCCCGGGTGACGCCCCACGCAGAGAGCAGCAGAGGCATGGAGGTCACACAATCTCGAAGACCAAGGACGGGAAGGAGGCGGCGGCAGGCGGGAGGAGCCGGGGCAGAGCTGCTGGAGTGAGCTGGGCAGAGGGCTCCCGCAGGGGCGTGTCGTGAGCAGCCCGTGCAGCTGTCCCGCTCCACGGAGGATCTGGAGGAGGTCCAGCCCAGCGACACCAGGCCCTGCCAGGCGGGAGGAGCTCAGTGAGCCCACATACCCACTCGGATGGGACGGCCTGCCCAGAGCTCAGGTGCCCAGAGCTCAGGAGCCGGGCACTCGGCTGTGCGCTGGGATCTCCGGGCACCACGGCTCTGCACAAAGGTGCTTGGCTGAGGTGCAATGAGGAGTTAAAGTCTCGCCCTTGGCACCGCTCCTCAAGCCTTGCCCGTGCTCAGGGCTGCGTCTTCCTGGGGGAACGGGCAGTAGGTACCCTCTGCCAATCAAGCTAAGTGCTCAGAGGTAGCTTCTGCCCGATGTGGGCACCTTTTTTCCTGAGCCATCCACCCGAGGGCACCGCCCAGGCTGGGAGCAGCCCTGCGTGCGCCCCTGTCTCCCAGGCACGAAGGAGAGGAAGTATCTCTGAAGACACACAGTGAGCCCCGGAGGAAAGGCCTGAAAATACTGCGACGCGGGTCCTCCCCTGAAGACTCCGGGTGCGCCCCCGGTGACCCCACAGAAACGCCCACCACCTGCCACAATGAGCTTCCCATTCATTCTCTGATGCGTGACTCCTAAAAACGGCCAGGTCCAGGGCATCACCAGAGGTTTGAGGGGGAAAAAAATCTTGTCACGTGCAAGTCAGAGACTGAGATTAGCTGAGAAAACCGAAACAGGGAGGAAACCAAAGCGCAAGGAGAGCAGAAAGGGGCTCCCCAGAACCCCGCTGTCCCCAACACCCACAGACATGCACGGCCTGCACCCGGGCAACGAGGACAAGGCGCTAGGAAACAGAAACAGGAGGCGGAAGAAAATGATGTGGAAATTAAAAAAGACACAAAACATTCATCAGGTGTATTGAGAAGATAAGACGGAATGATTCTCCCTGGAAGCAGATAAAAAAACAGACGAAAGATAGAGAAGGTGAAAAATACTAAAGGGTTCACCAGAGAGGTCCCACATGGCAGACACAGGTGGTCCGGAGAGAAAGGTAAACAATCCAAGAAAACTGAAGACCCTCCCCAGGAGATCGGCATGGGGCATGCCACCAAGGGCATGCTACCCTAGGGACAGCCCGGAACACTAACCATGAGGGGACTGTCCATGGTCCCTGGGCGTGGGAATCAGAGGGGCATCAGAATCTCAATGACCACGTCGGGGGTGGGGGGATGGGGAGAGGCATTATATTATTTCCCCCTGCAATTCTATCCCAAGCCACACTTGGGTGAGGGCAAAATCAAGGCATTGCAAGTTATGCCAAATCTCAACATATTTACGATGTTTACTCCCAGGTTCCTTTTCTGAAGGAGCTACTAAAGAATGTGCCACACATCTGATTTGAAAAAAAAAATCAAATCCAGGGGGAACAAGTGGACAAGAGAGAGCCCGGAAGCACGGTGCACCCCGCGGTTTGGGGGTGAAGACGTCCTCACGCAGCCGCACGGAGCAGAGGCGCACAGACACCGCGGTCTCACCGCGCCGGCAAACTACGGTGGGGGGCGGGTGGGGTGCGAGCCCCATCTGCCACACTGGCCGGCCGGCGGATGCTTCTGAATCAACTTTGAAGATGAAAGTACGCGCGTGTCACGTAGGAACGCAAAGGTAAATATTCGAAAGAGCTGAAAGTGTTACTTCCAGAGAGCAAGACTCAGGGGCTGCTTTTCATTAAAAGCCTCGCCGTGTTTGTTTCTTTTTAAACTACGAACATGTATTGCTTGGATGAGAGTCTAAAACAAATTTTTTTTTTGAAAAATTATAAGCCACGGGGTGGTGTATCCAGCAGGTTTCTCTATCCACCGTTAATATCCAGCTTCTTCCGTAGGAGCCTATACTCAAATGAGACATTTTATTTTTCCCTTACAAAAAAAAAAAAATCAGTTTGCTGCCAGCCTGAACCAAATGACTTTCCGGCATCTTGCCAGCCGATGGTTTTAAACAATATTACAAGTTGTACCGGGCGAGAAGAGAAGCCTGCAGAGGTTTTTCTCAACCAAGCCTAGACCCATAAATGAAACGATGAATGTTTGGGTCAGCTCTTCCCCGGCCCTTTCTAACGGAGGTGCACCCTGCGTGGTGTTGGGGGTTATAAAACATCGCACGGGTAATCTTTATCATCTGCACCTTTGAGCTTCCCATGATGCCCGGGCGCTCGCGAATGAGCTCATTTTCCACGGGACGCGTGCCCTCTGAGGTGGAGCCCCTCCAAGCTCAGCCCGGTTTGCAGAGAGAAGGCAGGCTCTGCAGTCAGTCCAGAGCGGGTCGGGGGCCGGCGTGGGGCTGTTGGCATGCACATGGGCTGCGCTAGTGCTCTTGGCCATGCTGCAGTTCTGCAACCTGGAACCTTACTGCTGGAAATAAGGGAGTCCTTGGCTTGCTGAGAGGGGAACTAACTCCTGGAGGGAGAGCAGCACCGGCACGTCAGCCAACAAGCTGTCAGAGCTGTTGAGGGTCCCCCGGACAGACAGGGGACGAGCCTGAAGTGAGTATGACTTTGTGGGAAAAACGTGAGAACAAAGTGGGGGTGGAAGATTGGCATAACAATTCTGTTTTTTTTTTTTTTATGAGGCTGTTTTTATCTAATGATTTTATCTTTTTTTTCCCCCAGGACATCCATGGGCACAACGGAAGTCCCCTAAATGCGGTGAGAGCTCTGGACTGGGCGCCCTGTGGCCTGAGCTGCAGACGACCTTGGATGACCCACGCTGCCTCTCTGCGTTCGGCTGGACAAGATGCTGTCTGGTGGTCCCCTCTGATCTGATAGTTGGTGACTTCATATGTGTCACCTAATTCATGCTCACTGCGGAGAGGGCAATGGGAGGAGAAGCCAATGCACCATCACTGTCGCCATGACCCGCATCTCCGCAGGAAACGGGGTGCAGGGGGAGCCCAGGCTGGAAGACGGAAGGGCTGGTGGGTGCCTCTGTCCACTCACAAACCACTGCCTGCTCTGGTCCACTCCTCGGGGTGTTTTCCAGAAAGAAAGCCTTTCCAGGTGACCCCCCGTGAGGGACCACGGAGGATGCCTGAGCCAAGGCTGCGCCCTGTAGCAGGTGCGCATGCAGCCTTTCCCGGGGCAGGAACCTGCTGGGCCACGGCCAGCCCTCGCCTCAGCCGGACTGGTCCTGAGCCAGCCTCTTCTGCTCTCCTCCCCAGGCTCTTTCTGGGGCTTTGCAGGGCCCAGGGGGTCTTGGGGATCAGCACAGATGCCGCAGGAGCCAGTGATGGAAGCCGGGGGGGCTGCCGAAGCAAAGCGGAGGGACCCCCAGTCTGCCCTGCATCACCCAGAGCTCCGCTTTGATCTGTCATCAGGACTGGCCACACGCCGCCCCAAGACTTCCTTCGAAAGGAGGGTTCCATGTGTGGAAAAGGTCTGAAAGTCCTGAATTACCCCAATTCGATCAATGCAAAAGCAAATTTAAAATGCGTCCCACTTTCCCTGCTCAAAACCCCAAAACCGAGGGTGAAAAAGCTCACGACACAGCGTTCACTTTCCTGCTTGGATTCGGCCATTCCCAGATGCTCCCTGCAGCTGGCAGCTGGGCGTCCCTGACATGTCCCCACCCCATCGCCAGACCACACACGTGCAGGGACACTGGGCATCTTCACTCACACGGCCCCTCCTGGAGGAAAACGTGCCAGTTTCCTCCCCAGCAGAGGTTCTGCCCGGGGCATCCACCCTCTTCCCCACCGGAGGGACCCTCAGCGGAGGGGAATGTAGCTCGAGTCCATCCAGGACCTTAAGAACCTGCGTGTGGGATGGACTGAGACCGAGTTATGGCTAGAAACTAGTAACTGACAGAGCAAGGCACACGAGAATAGAGCCCACCCAAGGGTCCGGCATACCCCTGAGTGCTGAGTACGTAGCATGCTTAGGATTCACGAGAAGAGAAAAAAAACATAAAAGAAAGAAAAGCAAGGAGTCCAAGTTTCCTGGGAGATCCTCAACCGTCTGTCGAGGCGCCCTGTCCAGACCCCGAAAGAAAACGAAGTAGAAAGGTCTCCCACCCGGGCAGGGTCCTGTTCTTTTTATTATGCGGACGCGGGCATCAGAGGCGGGTGACGTCCAGCTGTGGGAAGAGCAGCAGGCAGTACACCAGGAGCCAGAGGAAGAGGATGAAGTACACCATGTCCGGCTGCTGCACGAGCTGGGTCAGCGAGTCGCTCTGCGGGCTGGCGCTCTCCTCCTGCAGGGTGGCTTCGCCAGAGTGGTTGGCCTTCCTGCAGGGGTGACACACGGGCAGGGCTGTCACAGGCGGGACCCCGGTTCAGCGGACCCCGCTCGCTCCCCCCACGTGAACATTGCCGCCCAGCTGGAGAGCTGAGGGCGGCCCAGGGAGGCAGCCGAGACACCCCGAGTTGCACGTGTCGTCGCAAGGTGGGGGGGCCGGGGTGCCTGGAGGCCCTGTGGGCGCTCACAATACTCAGTCCGTCCCCACGACGTGGAGAGGGAGGGGCTGCTAGCCCATTCCACAAGTGGGCACACTGAGACTCACAGGGTGGTGGAGAGGCCTGTCCTAGGCCACACAATGACCGTGACAGAGTGGGGCCCCGGCCCATGTCCCACTCCCAAGCCAGGACAGTGTCCTTGCCACCGCAGTACCCTTCACATGGTTAGATACTGGCCGTTGTGTTATTACTGAGTAACAGAGGGGACTTCCCGTGTCACCCAAAGGAACAGGGAGTTCCCCAGTTACAGAGTGTTTGAAAACAGCCATCAGAAACCAAAACCAAGATAACCACCACCAAGTTTGGTTTCTGGTTGTTAAAGCAAGGGCTAGATTTGGTTTTGGTCAGATTCCTCTTCCCTCTTTCATTTTACAGAAGGCAGTGTTAAGGTGACGCTCAGCTCTTCTCTGGAGGACAGAGCCCAGGAGGGCGCCGTGTGGTGGTGACCGAACTTCCACAAAGGGAAGGGCTGGGGACATGCTCAGACTGGGAGGGGCGCTGGGAGCCTCTGCTTGTAGCTGTGCTTCTAGAAGCCAAGTGTGAGCTCTTTGGGGTCCCTTGGGACTTGTGATGGAGGTTATGAGTCGAAAACCCCGTCACCCGCAACTGTCTCCTGACCCAGGGACAGCCCGGGCCCAGAGGGAACCGCACTTCCGCCCTGCTCTAGAAACCGAGGGATTCAGATGCAATAGACAGGATCGCTTTCCCTGCCTTAAAACTCTCCTGAAAGAAAACGTAACCCGTGTTTTTTATTGCACAGGTAGCAAGTGCCCCCAAACATGGAAAACACGACGGATTGCATTTCTCAACCCTGCAGGCTCAACGTTCAAAGTTTCTATCTCATAAAAGCCGCAAGTGCTTTTTTCCTATGAGTACATCAGGCCTAATGGAAAATGTGCATGAATATTTCCATTTGGCGGCAGGGGAGGGAAACAGAAATCGCCTCTTTTCAGGAGCCAGAGAGGTGGAATTCGAGGGGTCACACTCCTGGGTGTTGGACAATATCCTGGCAAAGGTTTTCCGTTCCAATAATTGAAGTCCTTCCAAGCCAATTAAAATCCGTGGCAGATTTAAAAAAAAAATCAATTAAATTAAGTGATTGAGTAATGCTAACAGGCATGGGGGCAGGTCAGACTTGTCGATTTTAGGGATTTCTCTGGTTTTCTAGGTCCTAAGCGGGCCGGCACCGCAGCGGGCCTGGCCTAGGCCGTCTGGTTCTCCGAGAATCAGAGATACTTTCATAGACTTCCTGGCATGTCTGCCTTCCCTCTTCTTGTCTGCTCTGATGCCATAGAACTGTAAGATCAGCTCAGTGAGCTTCTGAGTTTTGTACCTGCAGTGGCGACAAGGAAGGAACGTCGTGGTCAGGCGGGCCGGGCGGGGTGGGGGCAGCACTCAGAACACAGAGCATCACAGGCTACCTCTCCTGCCTGGCTCTTCCTCGGACAGACAGCTGATACACGCCCCCCCCCCCCGCCCTTATTTAAATGAGGTGTGTGACCCACACCCGTCTCTAAAGGGAGCCGTTCTTCTTCATTCACATCTACTTTTCCTCTCACGCACATTCAGTTTACATCCATTCTCTCTGAGATGGTTAATTCTTTGCATTATCTCGGACTCTTAATCTCGCTGTCCACAAAGCATAGCTGGAGAATAGCCCCCCGCGCCAAGAAGGTAGGCTGCATAATGAGACAAGAAAGAAGTTTTTGGGAGAAAGCGCACAGAACTCGGAGTAAAGCCACCCACCTGGTTGACATTCGATTTCTTCTGTCATCCTGATCGGCTGCGTTCCGCAATTGAACATAGCTAAACTGATCCTACAGTGAAATTTATAAACAAAACCCCCGCAAACCCAATTAGTAAAGATGGAATCTCTGAAACAGAAAATGAAACAATTTTAAACATACCAAGCCGAGCATGCCACGTTTTCTCAACACTGTAAACATCTAGTACTCAAGTCAAATTGCTAAACATTATTCTACCCTCTCCCCCGGTCCCCGCACCGGTGGCCCCCCTCCCACCACCTGAACCAGGGGTGTGGACCACGGGGCTTTGAGTTCCAACACAACCAGAGCTAAATTGTTGCAAATATAGAGCACACCCTCCCCTTTGGTTGCACCTGTCTTTGAACTTGATCTTTCTGGGTGTATGCACAGGGGTGGGTGTCTTGGATACATTTTTTTTTTGGTATAACAAAGAGGCCTTTAGGCTTTAAAATCATCACTTTATTTACATCCCCTATTGCCCAAACTGGACATCCGACTGGACTGTGCCTAACAACAAGATTTCAATTTGCTTGTCTTCCATCCAAAAGTGTAGCTGTTGCATGTTAGTCATTTCAAAGCTCTGGGCTGGGGAGGAGGAAGGACGGAAAGGGACTGATTAGCAGGGCAGCGGGGAAGAAGAAATTCACATACTAACCGATTCCAAAGACCTATTGGTATGTCGCCGGATGTAAATGCTGGAGTCGCTGTGGCTGGTCCTGAAAGACAAACACACGTTTTGAATTGGTGCCACCACCGAGAGCTCCTCGTGGCGCAGCGGGCCCACCCCCTCCTGAGGCTTCCGCATGCGGACTTCCGCAAACCACGCCTCAGACCCAGCGACGGAAACGAGACATGTCACCCAAGCCATCCATCCATCTGGGCTGGAGTGTGCTTACAAATGTCAGGAGGGATATGAGAGAGACACATGGACCCTCATCAACAAGAAAGCGCAGAGAGTTTTAAATAGAAAGACGACCACACATTCTTGAAAACCACAGGACTGCACGCTGGGAGGGAGTCTCCTTCCCCAAGCATCCCTAAGTCTGGGCACTTGGCGGATGTCCACAGCTAGCTCAGGTCGGACCTGGGCCAAGACCTGGTACCCAGCCCCCTTTCCAGGGCTCCGCTCTGTGCACGAGGCTGCTCTCCACTCGTCCGACTCTCGGCTGCACCACCTCCTTTCATGCACGAGGAGGCTACTGCGACGGCCTTGTCTTTGAGGCGGACATTCAATAGTTCTCTGACCTTCTCCTGGAGCTGGCTTGCCTAGGACCCAGGCAAACAAGACCCAGCCAGAGGCCTGGGCTGTCATCCTGGCTTCTCGATTCACTGGCAACCTTCCTTAGCCAAGGCCTCTGATCGGTTTTCCTCATCTTTAAAATGGTTCATCGTTCCCGCCCCCCCTTCACGGAGCTGGTGGGGACGACAGTGTGATGGAGGTCAAAGTGGCCTCATCGGACTGCTCAACAGGAGAGCTAGGTGTTGGGTGTCACTGCGCCCAGGCAGAGAGACAGTCACCTCGGCTTCCTCCAGGGAAACCTCCTGTGTGGCATCCTGGGGTCCAGAAAAAAAGGCATTTGATACAGAAGTTTATCCCAAACGTTTGCATCATGGGCAGCCATGGTTCCTCTACCCACTGCTGTTCCGAAAACTTTAACTAGCTTTTCCTTTGTATTGGGCACGCTGCCAGTGAATAGTTCCTGAGCACCTACTATGCGCCAGGTGCTTGGCCAGGCCTAGGGGAAACCTCGGTCCTTGTCCTTGGGTCTGAAGTCTGTGCCTGTTTTTGCTGGCTGGTCTCACAGCACAGCAATGAAACGAAACGCACCCACAAGGAGAACGACCCCTGGTGTGGTGCCCGTCAGAGCTGACCCGGCACACCGAAGGACCCGGAGAGGAAGGGCAGCTCTCCCCGTGTTTGTGAAGCTTCTGGTAAAAAGCACGTCCCCATTAGGAGGGGCCTCTGCCCCTTTCCCAGCATGCTCTGTTTCAGGTAGTTTCCCTGTTACAGCACAACCCACAGGAGACTTCTGCAGGTTTTCATTCCGAACTTCATCGTCTCAGCGAGCACCAATGCTATCAAGAGCCTACTGTGTGCCAGACCCTGGGCTATCAAGAGCCTACTGTGTGCCAGACCCTGGGCTAGGTGCCGAGGACCCGGCTCCCCCAGGAGCCAACCACAGACTGAAACCTCATGTTCACTCATGTATTCATTCTCGCACTTGGCATTCTCGGGACAAGAATTTGTCCCGAATACCAAGTGCAAGGCGGGGGCTGGGCTAAGTGCCAGGGCAATGCTGGTGTGCCCTCCCCGCCTCCAGGGCGCTGGCTCAGCACCTGGGAGGGGAGCGCATGATGAATAATTATGCAAACAATTAGGGAAACTAGTGTTTTGATAAGAGTAGGGACTATGACAACATATAAAGGAGGATCAAAAATAGCCTGGAGGAATCCGAGAAGGCTGCCTGGAGGAAGTGAAAGTGAAGCTGGGATCCGAGGGGGCAAGGCAGGAAACAGACAGGGGATAGTGGGTCCCTCAAAGGGGAAGGGCCTGGGTGAGGGGTGAGCATTCAAGGGCCTCGACTAAGAGCAGGGGGCCTGGAGCTGACTAGGGATCAGAGGGGAGGATGACCGAGGGCGGACGGAGGTGTAGCTGGGAGACAGGTCACGATGGCTCCAGCAGGCTGTGGAACAAGGGGCCTTTCTGCCTAGACTGGCAGGAAGCCACAGGTGGGGACTGAGTCAAGGTCCAGCCGGGAAAACATCCTGGGAAGAGAGGTGCCCAGGGCTCAGTCCCACTCAGTGGCCTGGGGCCAGCACCGGCTGAACCGAGCACGGCCCACACTGCAGGGAGCCAGTGAGAAGGCCGGGCCCACGGGTGGGGCTCTGGGGTCCCCACGCATTCCTACCACTGAGCACACCTGTGCACACCTGTGCACACCTGCCTCCGTCTGGCATGCAGTTTCCCTGGCTGCACTGCATCCCCATCATTACAGGAGAGATGGGAGGGGGGGCTGCAGGAGGCTGCCGCCCGCCCCATGCGGAGCGGTCAGAGCAAGGTCCACCAGGTCTCTTCCCGCGCACGCCGAGATACCGGTCTACGTTTCCGTCTCTATCCGAGTCTCACCCTCACAGGGACGGGTTTTGCTGCTACTTCCTGATACAGCATGCAGCCCCGATGCTCCCTGTCCCCCCACATCCTGTTTCTCCTCCCACCCTCGCATCCCACGGACATTTGCGGAGCGCCCGCAGGGTGCCGGCTGCTTGCCCTGGCCGTTTCTCTCACCCGGAATGCCTTCTCCCCCTCTCCCAGAGCCACACCCCACGTCCCCTCAGTGCTCCACGCAAAAGGCAGGCCAGCCCCTGGGCTGTCCTGACCCCCTCCCAGCCGGCACCCCCTTCTCTCCCGCTGGCTCCGAGGCCCCGGAGGGTGGCGCTGTGCCCGAACGATGCCGCGGCTGACCTCTTCTCAAGTCCCCGAGTCCAGCAGCCTCCGCCACGGAATGGCCACGCACAGGTCACTGAGAACTGACTTGCTCAGGGAGAAGCGGAGCGGTCTGGCAAGTGGCCAACGCCCCCCCCCCCCAGGTTGTGACGAAGTAGGAGACGGCCCCGGGCCGGCTGCCCGTAAGTGTTCGCCAGCACCTAGAGCTCGGCCAGCTACACAGCAAGACACTAATGTTCGCTGCACCGTCACGAGAGGGGCGGGAAGAGGGACTCTGGGAGTCATGGTCAAGGTTGGCAGTGGCCTTCCACTGTGCCTTGCCCCTCCCCACCCAGGCTCCGGGCTAACTTTCCTTCATACCCCATTGCTCCGGGCACGAAAGCTGGGCAGACGGGGGACAGAAAGCTGGGCGCCCACCAGCTCCGTCCCGGCTCCCCCCGTCTGAGCTCCTCCCCACGCACTCCCCGAATGCACATCCCAGCCACGTCCCTCTGCAGCCGGTACGGCCCACCCCCCACAGGCAGCGAGGGGTCAGGAAGGGAATGTGGTGGGGGGGCTCGACAGGGCTGCATCCAAGACCCCCGCTCCGCCACCTCCGGAGCTGAGAGGTGCCCGAGCCCCCTTGTCTGTCTGTCACGGCGGTGTCCGTGAGGATGGATGAGGAAATGCACGGGAGACGCCTGGACACGCAGGGGGTGTACACAGTGACCGCTGTGACGAGGAGTGACAATGGGGAGAGACCAGAGTCTTCTGAGAGACAGCAGTGAGATATTTTCCCCGGGACAAATCTGGCCCATCCTGTGGCCGTGGAGTGAGTGACACATCACATGTGCGCTACGAGACTCCTGCAGAGCGGTTCAGGGTCATTATCCTCCCTGAGATGAATGAGCCATCCTCAGTTCTTCTGAACCAAACTCATGGATGGAGCCATAATATTCAAGTCCAAATTCTATGTGGCGGACCCGAGAAGTCCCCTCCGCACGGAGGCAGCTCGTCCCTCCCGGTTCTGCGGATGCTCATGACCAGCCAGGTCTGACCGCCCCCAGCGGTCCCCCGGGGCCGACACAGCCTCCGAGTCTATTGCTCTTCACACCCCACGCCTGCCTACGGTCCAGCCATTTCCCTGCTCACCGCTAGCTCCCACTCGGGGGCACTGGGAGCGAGGAGAGGAGGCCAGATTCCTATCTTCCTGCTCAGGCCTGGTGAAGGGGAGGCCAGCGGGGGGACCCAGGCGTAGGGCTGAGGATGCTTTTGTGTTCCCGACTCTGGCAAATGACCGCCTTGCCGGATGAACTCTGTGTGGGTCTGCATGAACCTTCTCACCGGGTTCCCTTTGCCGTCAGCCCGAGCCCTGCCACCCACCAGAAGCAGACAGCATGGGGAACCCCGGCCGGGACCCCTGGGGGAGGGGACAGGAATGAGATACCTGGAAAGGACTCGGTAGTCGCCAGCGTCGTCTTCTAGGTCATCTGAGGATCGAACGGTTCCAGGTGCTATAAATATTGAACTTTCTACGTGGTCCACATGTTTCTTTTTCTCCTTTTTTTTACTGCTGATGGCTTCTCCCACGACCTTTCCTTCGGAAGGGTTCGCTACATTTTCCGAGTTTGGGGATGTTTCCTGGGCCTGAAGGACAGGACAACCACACTCAAGTCAGCCCTTCACGCTGCGGCGCCGGAGGAGCGGTGCCCCCCAGCTGTGCTCTGCTCGGCTCCGCCTCGGTTCCAAGGCCCAGCGAGGGCGCCCCTTCTGAAACGGCCTCTCCCGGGAATTCCTTCCGGGGCAGCCTGCCTTGGAGGGGAAGCCCACCCGAACTCCTGCCCCTGCGCGGAGCTCAACACTGCAGGCTGGTGGGGTGAAAACAGACTCTAGCATGAGGTCCAGAGTCTGTAGTATCTAGTTTAAAATCCTGCCTGAGCCCTGGCTGGCGTAGCTCAGTGGATTGAGCGCGGGCTGCGAACCAAAGTGTCACAGGTTCAATTCCCAGTCAGGGCACATGCCTGGGTTGCAGGCCATGACCCCTAGCAACCGCACATTGATGTTTCTCTGTCTCTCTCTTTCTCCCTCCCTTCCCTCTCTAAAATAAATAAATAAATAAAATCTTTAAAAAAAAATCCTGTCCGAGCCAGCTATCGGACCTTGAGCGACTGCCTTTACCTCTGATTCTCAGTTTCCTTGTCTGACAAATGGGTATATCAGTCACAACCTCCCCATGACACCAGTGTTTCCTATAGAAGACGTCCCTCGCATGGGCAATGAACCCCGGGAGCGGGGTGGGGGGGCACCGGGCGCAAAGGTGGCCCCGGAGTCTGGAGAGGTTCACGCACAGGCGAACGTGTAGTTGGTGGGATGGTGCCTCACTGTGCCTCTGGCTGAAGGCGGACTGTGGTGCCTCTCTAGCGTTTATGTGACCAGGGATAATCTTTGACCCCTGTCCACACCAGACGCTCCGAAACCCACCAGCAATGCTCCTGAGTGAAACCAAGAAGCGTGGGAATTGTTGGAGCCGCCTCGCAGGAATTCCTTCCGGGGCCGGAAGAACCCGCTCAGCGGGGGCCGGGATAAGAGGTTCCAGTGGCCGGGCCGCGCACCCACGGGACAAAGCTCTGTGCAGACATTAAAAATGGTCTCGGCAGTTCGAACCTCCGGTCCCTCCTCCATCATCAACGGGATTGTTCTGAGAGGTGAAACGTGGAGGTGACATTATTTTAAAGACTACAAGAACTTGCCGTTTTCTAGGCTATGTCGAAGATATAATATATATATTTAAAGGAGGGCCAGATGCCAGAGAAATGGTCCATCCGGCGCTGTCTTGTCTGCCTGGATGCCAGACTCACAGACCTCGCCTGTCATCCCGGGCTGCGCCCCCTCCCTCCGCGTCCCCACAGGGATCCAGGCCAGGCTGCCCTCGGGAGCCGACTGCAAGGTGGGTTTGCCAGCAGCAGGCACCTGCTGGGCGGACCGGTGAGAGCCAGAGGCGGCAGATCGGAGCCCAGGGTGCGGAGCACACAGCACCGCTTCCACACGGCGCCGGGGCTGCCTGCGCTCACCCCCAGCTCGGTGTAAGGATGCTGAACCCCAGGGCTGCCAGCTCCCCGCCCCGCCCCGCCCCGCATCGCCTGTCCGAGTGCTGGTGCACAGCCTACTTCTGGAAGGCAGCAGGGAGCGAGAGGCCACGTCTGTGGTGCTGTCGGCCACACTCACTCAGCTGGGGAGAGGGACTGACCCCGTAAGTGGCCACTTCAAGTGACACGGCAGGCTTTCTTCCCGCCACCCCCTCAGCCTCCTTTCTTTGGTCCCAAAAGAGGGTTTTGGCCCATAATATCCCGGAGAATCATCCCAGCTACTGTCACAGTCCCCCAACCTGAAGACCCCAAGACCTGAGCTCACTGAGGGACATCTCTGACCCCTGGATCTTGGGTACAGTTGGCTTCCAACAAGCCCGCAGACAGTGCATGGGGCGGGGGATGGAGGGGCAGGGCCGGGATGGGGCGCCTCTGGGTGCAGGCAAAAGGGAAAGACAGCAGGTGGGCCCCGGCCCCTGAGGGACCACCGGCCCTCCATCCCAAGATGAACACAGAGTGACTGTCCCCCACCCCAGAGGGCCCAGTGGCCCTGCCACACTTGCCCCCTAGGCTGTTACCGCCTGAGACCTCTGTCCCCAGCAGTGATCCTGGCAGCTCTGCGCTGCCGTCCAGAGCTAGCAAACCGACCAAAGCGAGCCACCTCGGCTGGCCTGTCTGAACCCTGAGTGTCTCCTAAGGCTGCTCGGACTCCCCCCTCCCCCATAGGCCTCTGGGCTGCCAGCCTTTGCATCGCCCCGAGCACCCTGGGCCTCTCCCTCAGCCCGGTCCCTCCGCTGCCATGAGCCCGAGTGTCGCCCTTTGCCTTGGAGTCCAAGGCACCCTACCTTCTCCTTACGCCCCCAAATCATCACACAATACACCTTTGATCCCTACTTCGCACGCCCTGTCAGGCTGGTCTCTAGGGTCCAAACCTCAATACACCAACGCTCACCCTCTGCCTGGGAGAGAAAATCATCACAACCCACGAAACCCAGCTAAGCACTAGGGTAGGAAGGATGAAGCTTCATTGGCTCCAGAGGAGCTGGGAGGGCTCCTGGGAGGAGGTGCCATTTGTGGGAGGTGTTGAAGGTAGGTAAGCCCTCGCCAAGAGGTTCGGGGGAAGGCGCTGGGACCAGCTCAAGCAAAGCCTGGAGGCAGGGGAGAGACAGGGTAGCCGGGAGCCAGGGAGCCAGGGAGGGAGCTGGTGTGGCTGGAGGGGAGGGAGAGAAGGGGAACCAGGGGGGTTGGGGCCAGGCGGGAGAGGGAAGAGTCTTAAAGGTCACGCTAAGGCATGCGGACTCTATTCTGGGGATTAGAGTAGGGCAGGGACAGGAGGAGATTTGGGCTTCAGGAGTCACTGCCCGATGGGGCGGGGCTACATGGGGAGGAGAGACAGGAAGGCCTGGGAAGAGCCAATGGGATGGCGTGAGGAGTGGGAAGGATGAAGATTTATTGGCTCCAGAGGAGCCAGCACATGCAGCCTTTCTGGACCTGGGCAGGGGTCTCCCTCTGAAGGACTCCCTCTGAATCCCTCTGCTGGGCCCCATCTCTTACGTCTGATGCCAAGGCCCCTCCTAGCACAGTTACTGGGCACGCAGCATCGAATGCTGAAGGCAGGTTCTTCTTTTTGTTCGGCTCACTTTGCACACTGCCTGGCACAGGCGAGACTGAGTGGGCAGGTGGGCGTGCCTGGGGCCCTGCTCCTCCCAGGCCAGCTCACCCCGGGTGCCCTGTCTGCCCTGCGCCTGCAGGGGCCCCGTCAGCATGGACGGGGACCCTGGATTCCCAGTGCTGCCGTGGGCGTGCTTATTATCAGGGCACCTGCAGCAGGGCCCCTCCCGCTGCACCCTGAGAGCGTCACACCAGGTCCCCCACCCTCTCCTGCACACGCCAGTGGCCCCTCTTCAGCTGCTGGGCTGGATGTAATGAGAACCTCAAGTGGCAGGTAAGTGCATGCCAGCTGCTCCAGCTCAGAAGTGCGTGTCCCCTCCTTGCCCTATTTACACACTCCCCTTCAAACCACAGGGGCCAAACAATAACAGTGCCAAACAGGCAAACGGCCTTTGAAAGTCAAGGCCAGAGCCAGCCGTGAGGTCTCCCTTTGGTTTCCCGGGCCGCAGCAGGAGGCGGGGGCACCCAGCGTGCAGCTGTGGTCACTATGGAAAATGATGACGGTGTCTGCTATGCTGGACTCCCATGCTGGACTCCCAGACAAAACCTTGCGGATCCTCCTGGCAGAGCTGTGGGCAGGGTCAGGACTGGGGGAGGCCAGTGTGGCACCTGGGGTACGAATTTGAAGGAGTCATCCCTCTCAAGGGCTAGGGCTGCCCTTGCCCCAGCCTCAGCGAGCACCTCCTTAAATGTGCCACCCCGGACGTCTGGGAGGGACCCTGTTTTACGGGAGACACGGAGCTCAGGGAGGGCAGGCAGCATTCCCCACGCTGGGCAATCAAGTACCTGCTGACTCTCCACGGGGGCACTGTCCTCGGCCTCCCTTTGCTGGTGGTCCTGCTGGGCGGGCGGGGGAGTGGGCTCCGAGGCTGGTTTGGCACCCTCTGCGTCCCTGTCCAGATGGGGTTCCTCGAGGGTGGACGGGGGCTGGTCCTCGCCCGGCCCTGAGGAGCCGCAGCTGCTCTCGGATGCCTCGGGCTCCTCCACCCGGGGCCCCAGGTCATACAGGTAGCCCTCTGCCTCTTCGAGGTCCAGCTCTTCGTTTTTCAAATCCTCCACGCCTTCCGCGTAAGCCTCCAAGACCGCAGCCAGGGGGACCTCGTAATGCGGGTAGTAGAACAGGTCGTGGGGGATGACAGAAATCTTGGAGAGGGGCGGGGAGGGTTTGAAATCCAGGCCTTCCTCGCTGCGCGTCACGAGGGCGTCCAGGCTGACGCGGCTGCAGGGCGGGTTGCGAGGCAGCTCCCTGCGGGGCTCCCGGGGGCTTTCGGCCTCCCCGTCCTCCTCCCCGCGCCCGCGACGCGGGGATTTGCGCTTCGCTTTTTCATGCACCTCCGGCTTTTTGTCCACCGGTACCTCCTCAGGGGCCAAGAAATAGTCTTGGTCTTCTTGTCCGGGGACCTTGTGAGGGTGTTGCTTGCCGGGTTTCCCCGGGGGCTCGTCTGAACCCTCCTGCTGGTGGGCAGGGGTACCCCGCCTTCTCCCCAGTGTCTCAGCGGGCTCCCCCACGAGCTCGCCCTCCTCGGATGTTTTCTCAGGGGGCGAAGGGTCCTCATCGAAAGCCTGGCTGGTGGAGGCGAAATCGGCTAGGTCGCTGTTAAATTTAGAGGCTTTTAATGGTATGCCTTCAAAATAGTCATCTTTATCCATAGCTTCCACGGTCTGCAGCTCAACCTTGATCTCCAGGGAGTCAGCCACAACCGTATCCTCCCCAAGGGGTGAATGGGGCCGACCTCCCACCCCGGGGCTGGCTGCCCTCTCGGACGATGCCCCGTTCCAGGAGGGAGAGTCCTGGGAAGTCGGAGAGTGACCCATCTGACCGTCCTCCAAGGGAACATCATCCAGGGCCTCGTCAGAGGCTGCTTTGGGGATGTTGGGGACTTCCTGTTTTGGCTTTTCCTCAGCGACCTCCAAGACGCGTCCATCCTGCCTCGACGGCTCCTTCGCCCCCTTGGGGCTCCCTGCAACGCCGCCGGCGTCCTGGCCGTGGAACGTGCCCTTGCTGCAGGACGCGTCGTGGTAGGAGTCAGCCTCGAAGTGCACACTCTTCTTGATGGGCAGGTGGTTGGAGCCCCGGTTGTCCTTTCTGGATAAGATGGAAGAATCTGAAGACGGCTCACCGAGGTTGCTGGTCTTACCTGGGACGTCTTGGAGGACCCGGTCGATGACCTGGTGGATGACCTTGGTGGCAGTGTCCGACAGCACCTGGCTGGACACGCCGCCCAGGTAGGGTCCTGCGGCGCGCTCGGGCCTGTCACAGACAAAGACTTTGGAGGGCGGCGGGTGGCTGGTTTCGTGGTTGACGGTGTAGGCGCGCTCCCCGTCTTCGCTCAGGAACAGCACCGTGCTCTCCCGCTCAGGAGGCGCTTCCTTAATGCGGACGAAGGTGGACTCGATCGGGGCTCCTCTGTCCGCATCCACAAAGTCCTCCTGCAGAGGGACACAGGGCAGCCGGAGTCAGGGGCGTGGGCAACGGACACTCCCCTCTCCCGGAACAAGAACCAATGCATAAAGAGCTGCTTCAGAGCCAACGCTGAGTGCTCTAACTAGGTTGTGGGTGGTTGCAGAAGACTATCGTTTCTGCCAAAGTAGTTTTAAAAATACTATTTTTTTCAAGCTGTGGATACAAAGAACTCATGGTGAACTAAACTGTAGAGTGAGCCCTTCTCAGGGAGTAGAGATTGTCGGCTGCTTCTTCCCTGTGGGCCAGGCCAGTCTGGGGACAGACAGGAGAGCTGACCCCCCCCGAGACGGGGAAAGCCCAGCCACCCTGTCACCGACGGCGTGGGCCGGTGTGACGGAGTGAATCCAAAGGGCCCCAAGTGCAAAACCAGATCTCCGTGTGCAGGCGGATTCTCCCACACGGGCACGTGTGCTGTGTGGAAACGGCTGTGGGCCGGGCTGAAACGCAGGGATTGGTCTGGGGTCACGGCTGTGGTCGGCTCCCAGTGCGCCAGTGGGCTCTGCGTGGTGGCCTCACCCTCATATTATTTGAAACCAGAAAGCTGAACTTAAATAAAACTGCAGCATATCCCTTACGGACTCCCGAGAGGGCCAAAATGATGAGTTCCGCAACATAAATACTTGTTTGGGAGAGGACTACGTTCTCGGGGGGTGGGGGTGGGGAATGTTTATTTATACACCAGGTCTGGCATAAAATAAGAAATTTCAAGACCCCAAGACGCAGGGGAGTGAGACCCACCCATAACGAAGAGGAACAACAGTCCTGAGGAGTACACCCAAATAAGACCCAGGGTTAGGACTAGCTCTAGATCAAGACTCTAAATTAACTATTTAACGGACGCTACAAGAAATACAAAACTAGTTCTTCATGTTGAAGAGAAATGGTCATAGATGGAAGCCAGGATCTGAAGGAGGGAATGAAAAGTACCTGAAATAGTAAATATATGATCAGTATAAAAGACTGAAAAGTTTTCTTAAAAAGTCTTCTGACTGTCTAAAGCACAACTGTAACAGTGCATTGGGATTAAAACATATACAGAAGTGAAGTAAATGACAATAATAGCACAGAGGAATGGAGAAAAGGTGAGTGGAATGAAATGTTTGCACATATGAAAACATATAAAATATGCACTTTTCTTGAAGTGCTATAATAGGAATTCAAGGTAAACTGAGGTATGATCAAGATGGGTATTATCATCCCTAGGACAACTACTGAAAAGATAGAATGAGGAGAGGTGGCTACAAAGCTAGTAGCAGAGCTAAAATGGAAACCAAAAAAATAATCGAGTAATCCAAAAAAAAAAATTCAGGGAGGAAAGACAAAGAGGCGTAACACAGATAGGACCAATGGAAAACTAATCAAAAGGGTATTTAAATCTCTGTAAGTGAATGAAAAGCACACTAATTAAATGACACACTAGTTCTTGTCAGAATGGATAAAAACCAAGACCTGACCATCCACTGTTGATAAGAGACGTGTTTACCAGCACACACACGGAAAAGAAAAAGATGAAAAAAGACATATCACGCAAGCAGCACGTGAAAGCTGATGCAGCTAGGTGCCTCTCAGACAAAGTACCTTACAAGGCAAGGACAGAAACTGCCTAAAAATAAAACCACCAAGTCATCAGGAAGATACAATAACCCTAAATGTGTATGCACGTACAACAAAGCTTCAACATACATAACGCAAAAACGGACAGAGCTAAGAAGAAAAATAAATCCACAGTCATAAGCTGCAGATTTTTATATGTCTCTTTCACACTCCTTGCTAGGAAAAACAGAAAAAAATATCAGTGCGCAGACAGAATATGAGAACAGCATGTTAACCCACTTGACCTAATTGATACTTAAAGAATGTCAATTCTTTCAGTACAGGAGACCCATTCTTTTCAAGCGCATAGGGTACATTTCACCCAAAGAAACCGAATGCTGGGCTGTAAAGCCAGGCAGGGTCTGGAACCCCGACGGCCACGGCCGAAGGGATGTTTATGGCAATGCACTAAACTCAGCAGCGGAACCGTTCAGGAACGGTTCAGAGGGTGCCGGGACGTAAGCTGGGACTTGTCATCCCGAGTCCCCTGGGGACGTGTACGGACTGACCGCTCTGCGGTGACACACTGTGTTTGGTGACTCGGGATGACTTTCCCAGGTCTCATCTCTTGCTCCACGTCTCATCCCCCTGCCCTACCCGACGGCCCTGGGGAGACCCAAGTGTCGGATTTGCTGAGTCCTGGTTGTGACTCCCACAAATACCACACTTTTTAGGTGATTTCAACCTCGACTTGCGTCTTAAGGACTCGAGGCTAATGAAACGCCTGATGCCTAGTATCTCTGAAGTTAGTAACGGGCTAGGGATATTACAAAATATTATTATGCCATATATTATATTGTATAATGCATACAATTACACAAATTAGTATGGTATACTACATGCTGTATTATTACAAAAATAATAACAACCAGCACCATTTGCTGTGCATCAGCTGTTCTGCCAGGCACGGAACTAGCATCTCATACAGACGTGCATCAGAGAGGTGAAGTAAGCACCTTAAGGTCACACAGCTTCAAGTGGCAGACTGACGTTCCAGCCCATGGAATTTCTGCTTCTGACTTACTGGGAAGTGATCTGTGGCTCAGGGGCAGTTGGGAAACACACACACACACACACACACACACACACACACACACAGCTTGGGGCTGGAATGAAAGCCACACGTGGGTTCAGATTCAGCCTTTGGAACCACGGAGACCTGGGGTCACAGAGCTCTGGAGCTGCTGGCTGTGCGACCTTGGACGGGGCTTGAAGCCTCCGAGCACCCGTGTGCTCATCTATAAATGAGGATGATGAGGCGGAGCCAGGTGGGACCGCAGGAGGGGCCGTCAGTTACCTGCCCAGCCTCCAGCTAAGAGAGGAAAGCTGCCCTGTGCCCCTGGGAGCATTAGCTCTTTGTGCTCATGGTTTTGGTCTATTACTTATAGCTACTTCCAACTGTAACGTATTTGCTGACTTGTTCACTGTTCTATCAGAGCAAAATTACTCAAGCTCAGGGGCCTCGTCCACTCAATTAATTGCTGAGACCCCCAAGCCAGCAGGAGGTGTTCAGTAAATTACCAGTGAATTCAGTAAAGGGCTGTTGATATTGTTGTACTTGTCGCCCTTATTATGGTCATCTCTGGGCTGGGCGGAGAGTCAGTGGAGCCGTGACAACCTCTAAAAGGTCTCAATCTGCTCCAAAAAGAAAAAAAAAAACTGTCGCCAAGTACAGTCTGAGACTCTGGAAAAGGTGTTTTTGACATCGACTTCTGTGGTTTTTCAGGCTCTCACAAAGTCTGCTAGATTGCTAAAATGTTCCATCTGCTGTCTACGAAATTAAGTAAGTGATCCATAGTACACGTGAGCATCTTTTATAACCTAAACCAAGTTTGGTGTGGGAAGAGATTTGAGAGAGGGTGGCTGCCTGACTTCCCGTCCTGCTGTTGAATGTGATACACGTCATATATGATTTTGGAATTAAATGTGGCAAGGCAGCGCTCACGGGCTTGAGATCAACTTTGGATTATCACTGGCCCCCAGACCACCACGGCCCAGGCCCAGCTTCGTCTGGTAGAAATACAGTATCAGAATTAAAGGTAAAGAAAAGCAACATACGGCTTCCAGCTCCGGGAAATGTTCTAGAAACTGTGCCACGTACGTCACAATAGACTGCTCGTCCGGAGTGTCCACCATGATGTCTGTTGAGAGAGACACAGGCGTTAGAAGGACACACGGACACGCAATCTTTCAGGAGGCCCACGGGACGCTGGCCAGTGGAGGGCCCCACAGACCACGGAGGTTTTCTCTTCCTCTGACACGGGAGGAAGTTTAGGCCCAGACGGGGCGGATCCTTTGACTGAAGGCGGATGAACAGAGGGACCGGGGTGCAGAGTCCAGGACTCGTTATTCCCGGGACCACCTGCCCTTCCTCATTGCCGGAGGGAGCCCCACACTAGCCCGCCCCACGTGGAAACCAAAATAGCCAAGCACCTTGAAAAGGTGTCCCTTCCGACTCTGTCACCAGGCTGAGGGGACCTGGTCCCAAAGGCGCCTCATGCAGTGAGAGTTCGCCACAGTGTTACATGTAAACATGACTATTTCTGAAACAACCTCGATGCCCACCAGTGGTAGAAGAGCCTAGTGCATTCTGGTATGCCGCAAGATGGACCATCATGCAGCCCATAAAAATGTATAATGAACACGTTATAGCTACATGCAAATACTTATGTCAAAATTAGAACGTTAAATTAAAAAAAAGAGGCTAAAACTATACATACACTGAATAATCCCGATTATGTAAAAAAAAATTGTAAAATGAAATGCACCGGAAAACGCTGGAAGAATGATCTCAGTGGCAGGAGTATAGGAAATGTAAAATGTCTTCATTGGATTTTTTTCTGTCTTTTCTAAGTTTTCCGCCTGGACAGCCAGTGGCAGGCAGGGGACGGAAATCATTCCGAAGGAAGAGAGCGAGGGAGCCGCCGTTACCTTCCGGCTCCAGGAGCCTGGGGATGTGAAGGGCGTCGTGTGCGATGGTGAAGGCCTTCTCCAGGTTCTCCCACATGGAGTCCTCCAGGGCCTGCTTCATGTCCACCAGGCTGGGGTCGATGGCCTTAATCACAGCCAGGAAGGCCAGCCCGCTCTTCCAGCTGCCCGCAAAGTCCTGCACCGCCACGCCATACCTGGGGAGAAGCAGCAGGGCGGCCGCGGGAGGTCTCTTAGTAAAGAGACTCAGTGATGAGGGGTCAGCACGCAGTGGCCTCGCAGGCCTCCGAGTGGGGCCGCGAGCTGCTGATCTCACGAGGCCGGGTGCCCTGGGCCTCGAGCCCCGGGAGAGCGACACAGAACCATCCCACTTGCATTTCTGGATGAGCAGAAGGAGGAGGTACGCGTCGTACAAGAGGGCAAGACAGGACCTTCTGTTCCCCAATTTCCAAACAGATAAATGAGCAGATTTATACCCTGTTCATCTTATCAGCGACATTCAAAACAGCAAACAGGAAGTGTTGCACAGTAAAGCAGAGCCAGAGAGTCCCACGGGCACCCGAGGCTGCCCTGTCTGGACTTCCTGCGCCGTGACCTTGGGCAGGTCCTGTACCGCCCTTGGACTCAGACTCCTTAATGGTAAAACAGGGATGCCCTCGCCGTGACCTCCCGGTGGTGGCTGTGGGGGGAGTACCGGCTTGAATCCACAGGAACGACCACAGCAGGTGGACCCCTGCGGGCGGCCCATGGAAGCCCCTCACAAAGTGGGAGGGGCAAAGGGGGCTACTCCTGCCAGGAGCTCATTTCCTTTAGAAACCATCCCCTGAGACCTGCCCGTCTCGTCTCTGTGGTCACAGAATTCTCTTACAAACAAACAAACAAACAAACAAACAAACAAACGAAAACCCTGTTTTATGTAGAAACCACACTAGATTCCTAAGCTGTTGCAAAAGCAGAGAGCAGCGTGCATTCCCCGAGTGTGTTATCCGAGCCGGGACGTTGGGACGAGACTGTTAATGAAGCCCCGGGCCTCATTGGGTCCCCACGCGTTCCTTCTGCACGGGGGTGATACACGGACCATGACACGTTAGCACAAGCACAGCGTCCTGGAGCCACGGCCGCCGTGGAGAAGCAGAACTGCTCCATCGCCCCAAAGACACCGCTGCCTCCTCAGTCCCCCTGACACCCTTTCGGCTGATCCCTTCTCAAACAACCTGTCCTGACGGTTCGCGTTCATCAACTCGACCACCGTGTTCCGCCCCTCAATCAGACTCCGGAGACCCAGCCTCGCTTCCTTCTTCTTTCCTTATGTGCTCACTCCCATGCACTGGGGAGAAGGAATCTGGTATTTGTGAAGCGATTCTGATGGGCTGGTCCTATGCCAGCACGTCGTTCGTGGGGTCCACATCATTTCATCCTAACTGTGCTGCCAGGCAGCGGATGGTGAGCCGCCAGCTTGCAGACGCGGCCGGTGGGGAAAGGGACCCGCCGGGATCTCACCCCGTGCGTGCGTGGCATTGCTGAGGTGGCCCTGAGTCGGTGTGGCTCACACCACTCGTCACATCCCACGCGCTGGGAGCCCCCTTGATTTGTACTCAGATCCTCTCAGCAGCTTCCTGCAAACTGGGGTGACTACCGTTTTCTGGGCACAAAACCTGAGAGACGCACAGCATCCCCCCTCAGGGGGGTCTAACCAGCAGCCCGCGGGCCTCATGCAGCCCAACACGGAATCATACATTTACCTAAAACATTGTGAGATTTTTTTTTGGGGGGTGATTTACGTGTCACAATGTATTTAATGTGTGGCCCAAGACAACTCTTTTTTCCCAGTGTGGCCCAGAGACGCCAGAAGGTGGGACATGCCCCTCTACGTGAAAGGGCAGGCTTATACCTTGCATGTCACTGAATAAGAGTTCACGCCCCTTTCCTTCGCCCACTCCAGGACGGTCCTCCCCTCTCTGCCTGGCAACAGTGTGGGGGTCGGGGGGTGGGGGGCAAGGCGCGTGGCTTACTTCCTCGTCTTCCTCTGCACCCATGCCAGCAGGGTCCTGATGGCCTTCCTCTGGTCCTTCACCGACAGCGCCGCGCTCCTCTCCGCCGTGGGCGTGGGCGGGAAGGAGGAGTCTGAGTCTGTGCCCCCCGAGCCGGGAGACAGGCTGGAAGACGGGGAGCTCCTGCTGAGGTTGCCCGTGAGCTCCTTGATCTGCAAGGAAAAAGCCACTTCAGACCCAGAGCGAACCGCGTCTGACCCCAGGGACCGAGTGCACCCTGACTGGAGGGACAGGCTCGTGCAGAACCGGGTCCCCGGATACGAGGAGACCCCTCCCAGTGGCTGCGGGAGGGGTCAGGGGACAGGGCAGGGCCCATGGTCGCCCGACCGTTTCGTGGGGCCTGGAGTGCCTGCAAAGACACCCCATGGTGGGGGTCGGGGGGCAGCTCTCCCCGGTCTCTCTAGCTCTGGCCGGCCTCTGCACAGGCGTCTTCCTGACCTGACTCCACCTCCCCCTGTCCCCTCCTGGGCTGTCCCTCCCAGAATGCACCACGTTGTTTCAAGCCCCACTGCCTACGCTCATCCGGGTCCGTGGCCTGGATGGCACCTTCCGTCCTCGCTCGATTCCTGGCTGCCCAGAAGGGGGCGCCCATCAGGGGGCACTTGTGAGCAACACAGAAGCCCGGGCCCTGCCCCAGAACCCACAGAATCCGAGTCGGAATCCGCATTTCAGCACCACCTCCTGGTGGTTCGTGCGCACGGTCGAGCCTGAGAGGCTCTGGTCTAACGCGCTCCTACTCACCCTTCAAAACCCAGCTCCGCTGTCACTTCCTGCAGAAAGTTTTCCTCACTCCCCTCTCCCCCTGAGGTCACTGCCTTTTTGCTCAGCGCTCTTACAACACGCTGCCTATAACTTGACCATGGCCTGCAGCGCAGAGCTCTATGGTATGGGGCTGATTTATCGGCAACCCCAGAGAGCCATGAATGCAGGACTCTGTATGTGCAGAGCCTAGCCCACAGGAGAAACTCCACAGACATTGCACTCAATGAACAAACGAAGGTCTGGGGGGCACATCCAGCCTTGACTTTCTACGCAGGCTCAGGAGACCTCCAGCGCATGCCAGGGGACTGAATGATGACCACCAGTAACAGAAGTCTGCACTGAGCAGCCCAGTTGGCCACAGGCTGTCCCACACAGCACCTCCGCATGCTCAGCCCCTATTGTAACCCCTCTCCCAGGTGTGGAAACGGAGGCTCAGGACGAGTGCCTCTGGTTTGAAGTTTAAGGCTCCCCAAGAACTATGTCTGTTGTCCCCAAACTATGTTCGTGCTCACCCTTCCCAGAAACACCAACATTGAGCCAAAGCCCCCAGCAAACCACCTCCATGCAGACCAATTTTACTCGGGGTGGGGGGGGGACAATTAAATAATGAGCCCTGATGTTCTGTTCCAAAAGAGGGGGATTTAAGAAGATGAAAACATCAGCTTCCTCCCTGCTACTCAGGGAAAAGAACCGGAGTGCGATTTTAAATGCCGCCTTCATGCCCCGCCCCCCGGCCCCCACAGATCCTGTCTGTCTCCACAACACCTGCGTTTCCAAACACAGGCTGCCGTTGCTAAGGACGGAAAGGGGCGTCCCCTGTCGCACACGGCTCTTCCTGCAGCTGTCTGGCAGACAAGCCCTTTAATCATCTCTGACAGACCCGAGTCATCTCAGGAGAGTAACTCCACCAAGTTCAGTCCTTGCAAGTCTTTCCCCTGGTTCTTGTGACACTGTAGAATGAAATTACTTTTCGAAGTAAATATTTAATCCTTTCATTCCCAAGAGAATACACAGACTCCTCTGGACAGAGAGGGCTCCCGCCTCTTCTAAAACCACAGGGAGGCAAACCTCTAGCGACCAGAGCCCTGCGGCTCTTTTCCAGGAAAAGGCAAAGTCCAACGTCTGTCAGAAACGGAATCTCATGGTCACCCTTGACCTGCCCCACCCATTCTGTTGGCCCTCAGAGGACACAAGGAGACCATGGCTGTGTGTCACAGGAAGGAAACCGTCTTACCTGGAAGAAGAGAATTATGTTCCATATCAGCCCAAGAACCAGTGAGGGGTTGCCATCCGCTATTTCTGCCGCGTCTATGCTAACCAGTTTTACCTGCAGAGAAGACATTTATGAGCTTCCCCGGGGTGGCCAGGTACACTGAAAACAGGTGGCTTTCTGATGCCCTCACGGACCTGCTTCTCTTTCTCACCTGTGCTGTTTGGGGTTGCCCAAGGCCACCTCTCAGGGACCCCCGCGTGCAAAAGTACGTGTGTATTTAAAAATCACGTACATCGGACTTACCAGGTGCAGTTACTATGCTAAGCTCTTTGCGAGTATCAAATCAGTTCACCCTCAACAATCCCCCTAGGCAGGTACTTTTACTAACCCTGTATTTCAGGTGAGGAAGTTCCAGAGAGGTCAAACGGAACGTCCCCCAGGTCATACACTGACGTCTAGATCACCTTGTTCAAGGACAGACGGTGAGTGCCCATTCGGTCTGGGTGCTACACTACTCACCGCCCCCAAACCTGCAGATCGAACACGTCTTTGGACAAACCGAGAGCGCTGCCATCAGCAATCACGGGCCGAGATGGGAACGATAATTATCTGTTGCTTATCAGAAACAGCGAGTAGGGATAAGGCTGATGGCCAGAGTATCTGCGTCATTACACAACATCCTCCTGAGTGGTTGAAACTGCCTGTGTGAGAAACCCTTAGGACCTTTTCCACTTACTTAACCAGGATGTGGTCACAGGGTGATGCTCTGAGCAAATCCCTGCGGCAGCGGTTCTCACAGTGTGGTCCCTGGATGGACCTCCTGGGAACTCCCTAGAAAGGCAAATTCTGCCCCAAACCTACTGGATCGGCAGCTCCGGGAGTGGGGCACTTCAGCCAGAGCTCCCGGCGATGCCGCTGCCCACTCAGGTGCGAGAGGGGACCCCTGCCCTGAGTCACCTGGGTCCACAAGCAACACCTGAGTGCCTAGCTCAGGGGCCTGCGAACTTCTACAGAGGGACACAGAGGGTAATGCTGAAGGCTTTGCTGGCCACCACGGTCTCGGCCTCCCATTCCTCAGGAGGAAGAGAGGAGAGAGTCAAGGTAAATTTCCAAACGTACCCTGCGAAGTTCGGCAGGGAGACCTGGGGAAGAAAACAGACGGCTTCATGCAAACACTCCTTTCTCCCTTCCCCTCAGGGCTTTTAAAAATGTTTGACAAGGGTCTCTGATCCTATCGGCTGTCTCCAGTTTCCGAAAACACCACTCAGCAGGGCCTGGGATTTCCTAACCCAGGGAGAGGGTTCCCCGGCTCAGGGCGTTTTGCAGGCTGATGCCAAGAACATCCTTCAGCTAGCAGGCGCTCATCACGGGCGGGCTGGATCCAGGACGGAAGCTGTCACCATCGTGACTAGCTCGGCCGATCACGTTTGGGCCCGGTATTCCCTCTACATCCGCCACGGCCACACATCCCATGCGGTGAATCGCGGAGCCGCCTTGAAGGGACCCAGTGGACAGGACGGTGCCCCATCCCAGGGGAGGCCAGGGACTGCACGCCTGGCCGAGGGAAGGCGCTGACTGCAGCTAGTCCAAGGCCTCAAGGAGCAAACATTCCCAAGGATCTTGGGCGCCCAGCCACGTTGGGCCCTCTGTAGGGAGCAATGTAACAGCCTCACAGCAGGCGGAAGCTTCGGGGACAAAGTCCTCCCCCTCCTTTTCCCCGTAACTCAGTGGTTTTCGTCACACTGACAAGTGGGCCAAGAGGCTCATGGGAGTGTTCCTCCTCCCCCTCTGGTTGCCACCCAGAGTCTTCGGCAGCAACAATGGCCATCACAGTGCATCCGACTTCTGCCAAGTGGCTTTCATGAGTTAATTCGTTTCCTGCTCTTAACGTTCCATTTCGCAGACGAGGAAGCTGAGGCCCAGAGGATGGAAGTCACGGGGTTGGTCCCGCAGGGCAGCCAGTCTCTGACAGCGGAGTCAGGGCGCTGCTCTGTGACTCGGAGTTGTGGGGGAGGGGGGGAAGGACATCGGCCGGCCACACGCACAGCATCTGAATCCTGGGGCACAGGGGACCTGCTTGGCATGGATCACCCAGTTCTGGGCCCTTCTTTGGCTCAGCAGAGCCACACTGCGGCCCATCCTCCCTCCCTCGAGCTGGGACATTAGGACACGGAGGGGCCGGTAAGGGCCCATGAGTGATGTGTGGCCTCTGGGAGTGGGACCCAGGTGGCACCTGAAACGTCTGTTTCCTCCTGTGTCCCTCCCCGGTGCCCACCCCTCCCTTCCACCACGGGGGTCACTCACCTGTCCTACCTGCCTGGCTAAGGGGGCACAAAGATGACAAAACACACCCACAGTTGGCATGTATCCAGATTTTTAAATGAACAAGAAAGGGAGGGGGGACCTTTAAGGCTCTGTCGTACCACAGGCGGCTGCTGCACACAGCTTGGGGAACATTTAAGGGTGGGTAAGAGCAAGCCCGCCGGGCCTTCAGAGCGCAGCACCACCACACCCGGGCGGGGCCAGCCCCTCCTGGAATGCCCGCTGCCCGCCCACCCGTTATCACAAACACACGCCCCCTGGAGTTCGGGCGTTCAGGGGAGCCCGCCCAGCGGCCCCTCCAGGAGCAAGGGAGGGAGGAAGAGCCTCGGCTGAATACCGTCCGCACAGGCACCCCCAGTCCTCGGCGGCTCTCTGAGGCAGGCCTGCTTTCCACCGCCCCTGTTTCACGGACCGGGAGGCTGGGGCTCTGAGGGCCCACACCACCTTCCAGGACCAGAAGCCGCCGCCACAGCCGGGCCCCGAACCCGTGCCCTCCGCGGCCACGTGGGAGCCGAGGCTGCCGGTGAAGCCAACTCCGCAGGGACACCAGCATTCTCAGAAACGTGCTTCTTCATGGGGCGGCTCTCCTGAGACGGAATTTATATTCCGTCCAACCCGCCCACTCAAAGGATGCGACTCGACCGTTTTCAGTGAACTCGCTGAGAGGCACAGCATCGCCAGAGTCGATTTTAGGACATCGCATCACATGGGAAAGAAACCCCGTCCTTGTCGGGGTTTCTCCCCATCTCTCTCTCCCCCTATCTCTCCCCGCAACCCCCCCACCCCCGCCGACCTCACCAACCGCTGATCCGTCTCTGCCTCTAGGGATCTCCCTGGCCTGGACATTATTGCACGGGAGTGCAATCACAGAATAAGCGGCCCTTCGAGTCTGGCATTTTCATAAAGTTTTCACCCGGCTGGCGTAGCTCAGTGGACTGAGTGCGGGCTGCGAACCAGAGTGTCGCAGGTTCGATTCCCAGTCAGGGCACATGCCTGGGTTGTAGGCCATGACCCCCAGCAACCACACATTGATGTTTCTCTCTCTCTCTCTCTCTCTCTCTCTCTCTCTCTCTCTCTCTCTCTTTCCCCCTCCTTTCCCTCTCTGAAAATAAAAATAAATAACATCTTTAAAAAAAAGTTTTCAGTGTTCATCCATGCGGTAGCCTGTGCTGGTGCTTCGTTCTTTCTCACGGCTGAGCGATTTTCCGCAGTGTGAGTACACTGCACTTTGTTCATCCGTTCGTCCACGGACGGACCCGGGGGCTGCTTCCACCTTTTGGCCACTGTGAGTGATGCTGCCGCGAACGACGCTGTGCTTCCTGGCCACCACTGTCTGAACGCCCTCCCACGTCTGGGGCTTCCCCCACAGCACGGGAGGCAGAGCCCACCTCTCCTTGCGAGACCCCAAAGTGCTTCCCTCACCTCCCCCCGCCCCCCGGCAGCTGAGATGAGGGGAGGCACCACGGCTTGGTGATCCGGGTCTTTGAGTCTGAATGTGTGACACTGAGCTCATTCCAGGGGCTGTGATGTCCTTGTCTCAGCAGCAGTGGGCACAGTGCAGGGGTGGCCGTGCCCACACAGGTCCTTGAACGGGGGGCACGGGGACCTTTGCGGTGGGCCCGGCGCCTGGCACCCCTGGGTTCCACCCCTGGTTTCCCCAGGCCCTCTGTTCGCTACTCAGCACCCTGTCCACAGCCTTTTCTGCTGAACTCAGCCAGTCTCAGCTTCTGCTGCCTGCCACCCAGAAGGCCAAGTGCACTGCACTTTATGGCCGAGTTTTAGTCGCGCAAGCCGCGGTGTTTCCGCCCGGGATTAATCGCGGACGCCTAACGGAAAGGGGAACCCTGGAAATCTCGTCCCCTGGAGCCATCCGCTCCCGTTTCTGAGGGACACGAAGCAGAGTCCAACACACCGAAAAAGCTCATGAAAGTCTAGAAAGTTCTATCCAAGAGGGGAGAATTTTGTAAGTTTCCCTGGCTCTTTTAGCCTCCCCTAACCCCCCCGGGCTCCTCACGTCTTTTGAGTTCAAAGAGACAGCTTTGAACTCTGACGTGCTCCCTTGCACTCTTATTCAAATAAGGGGGAAAAATGTCAACTAATTCCAAAGAGCCGAGCCCCGATCAGCTGGCCCGCCCTTCCCAGGACTGGGGTCCAGTGGGGTCTTCCTCCCGATGGAGACGGAGGGAGGGCGGGGAGGCGGGCCGAGTCGCCAGCGGACGGGTCAGCCGAGTTCCGTTCAGTTTGAAATCAGTCCCATCTGACCGTCTGAGCGGGGTCCCGCTCCACGCTTCTCCCGTGACCTGCTAGCCCTCTCCTTTGCCGCAGGGCAGGCCTGCGTTAGTTAACCAGAGGCGCCTCGGATACTCACGTTGCTGTCTTCCAAAAACTTAAGGGCTTTCGCTATGTTGTTCAGCTGAAAGATGCGGTGGGACGAGGACTTGTACTCGTGGAGCTGCGACACAGAGCAGAGCAGAGCCCGTCAGACCGCCCGGGCCCCACGGCCCCGCCCCCTCTGTCTGCACCTCAATCTCGAGAGAGAGAAAGTCGGGGCTCCCGGCTGAAACCCGCCCCTTATTTATGGTTCCCGGGACTTCGCTCAGTCGAGCTGGTGCATGGGGGACCCAGGGGTGAAACCAGGGGCAGATGCGTCAGGCTTTTTCTCTCTGACCCAGCTCCTGGCTTTTGACAGCCCCCCCTCCTCCAGAGCCCTTGGGTGACACGCCGTCCTCGCGGGCTGATGGTTTCTGTCAGAGCAGGAGCTTCCGCCAGGAGCATCAGCACGCAGCTGCTAAATCACCCGGCGAGTCCCTCCCTGGGGTGGCAGATGTTCCTGCTTTCTGGCCAAGAGCTTTGTGAGCAGCTGTCCCAGGTCGGGGGAGGGGGCAGCGAGAGAGGGGAAGGGGTGGGGAGAGAGAAAAAGCGGGGGAGAGGTGGGGCAGAAAGAGGCAGAGAAAGACAGAACGGGGCAGAGACCGAGAGAGACAGAGACAAGGAGACGCAGACAGAGGCTGAGGCAGGCAGATGGGGAAAGACAGGCAGAGACAGAGGAGAGAGAGACAGAGATACAGAGAGAGGGGAGAGAGATAGAGCAAAGCGGGGAGAGAGAGACAGAGGGAGAGACAAAGAGAAGCCGAGGGGGGGGAGAGAGAGAGAGAGAGAGAGGGAGGTGCCCGCAGAAGTAAAACTCTGACGACGTCAGCGGCCCACGCCGGGAGGGCCATCAGGATGAACACCCTGCAGTGAAGCCCGTGACACCCCCCCGGTGGGGGAGGTTTACGTCCCAAGGCAAACCAGTGGGCGCCAGTCCCTCCTGGCATGAACGCAGGGCCAAGCTCACGGGTCACCGCCGCCTCGCCGTGTCTGCCACCACAAGTCCACTCGCACCCTGGACTCGAGAGCGGGGTTCCTCAACATCAATACGACTGGCATTTTGGCCAGACCGTTGTACCCCATCCCGGGGACATCTGGCAACGTCCTAGGGACGTGTTGGGTTGTCACACTGGGGGCACTGCCGGCACACAAAGTGGGCAGAGCCCAAGGAAGCCGTGATGCCGATGAACATCCCGCGGTACACAGGACGGCCCACCGGGGGGACCCGCCGCACCCAGACGTGACAGCACTGGTGTGGAGAGCCTGCTTGGAGAAGGGGAGAGACAGGGCCCACCTGTGCACGGCGCGGCGGACACGCGCCACGAGACGAGGCCTGGCCGAGATCAGAGTGAAATAAGCCTTGAGGTCGGTGGGTTCAGTCCAATTTTGGCCATACTTACAAGAAGGTTCTAGAAGCTAGCAGTTCTAATTTTGGCCTCGGGATGGATGCCGGAAGGTGGTTGTAAGATGCCTTCCCCACCTTCCCGATTCTTAGCTACCATTCTGGTTTAATGGACCGGCGGGGCCAGTTAAGCCCTGATATTCAAGTTCCGATCTTGATTGAGCCTTAACAGACTCACGGAAAACACTGGGCATTTATCCATTTACTTACTAAAGTAAACTTGCTTTGAAAAAAGATACAGCTGAGTTACACGTGATTCTATGGGTCCTGGTCACTGAGGAAGGAGCGTGACCCTTCAGTTTCTTGTCGCAGGATTTACGCATGGCCGGGACGCACACACACATACAGATCTGTATCGAATAGAAACCCCTCTCCCTGTTTCCCTTGGCATTTTATTTCTTCCTGACCCTCTCTGCCATACATACCAGATTTCGCCCAGACAGGACTTCTAACAGAGCCATCAGGATCTTGCCATCTTGTATGTCAACGAATAAATCTTTAACTTCTAGAGGAGGGTTGCACTGTGGAGGAAGGCAGAGAAAGCAGCTGATCAGCGGCCCGTGTGACCCACGGAACTAGTTTGCAGGTGCAGGTTTTGCTCGAGAGAAAACTGCCAGACACCCACTGCTGTCCACGGGCAGCAAGGCCCACCCATGGAGGCCGTAAGCCTGTCCCGCTGGAGGTGACGCCTGGGCAACAGGTGCGCTGGGGAGCTGTGGACGAGCCAGCATCGGGGGCCCCATCAAACACGTGACCCTTGGGACCCTCCTAATGTGGTATCTCAGACCCCAGAATCCTATTACACGCACGTTTCTGCTTAAGGGTAGAGAGAAAGGGCGTGTCTTCATTACAGACTCCCACTGAAGGAAATGATCCCAGAAGCAGGGCTCACATCCAACCCCCTGGGCCAGCCCTCCATCTCAGATCGGGGGCCCCCTGAGGCTCCAAGAGGCTGGGTGGCGTGCCCAGGGTTTGGAGAAGTCAGCTCTTTGGTGCAGCCCTGTGCCGCATCAGGACACGCTGGCTGACCACAAGTGCAGCTCGGACGGACACCGTGACGACATGACCCTGGTGGGTTACCCTCTGGGCCGGGGTCCCGGGGGCGTCAGGGCTCCTAGATCTCCAGTGCTGCGCAGTCAAAGCGCACGCGCCTTCCTGGGGGGGCTGCTGTCACACCATCCACATTCAGCCCAAGTCTGCAGTGGGGTGCCCTTGGCAGAGGAGGCCAGGAAGGAGGCTGGTGTGGGCAACTTGGGAGGGGGCGGAGGCCAGATGGACACACAGCTGGCCCGCGGACAGCCGGGTGGTTCCGTCCACCCCCACGTCTGCAGGTGTCAGGATCCCGAGGTTTGAGAGCCTGATTTACACACATATGTAGATGCATATTTATATGGTTGGGCGTACAAGGTAATACAGGTTCATGATAGCAAATCTAATGAAAATTGTATTGAAATGCTCATCAGTGGAGTGTTACTGCCTCTTTCCCCCACAACACCCGGGCTTCCTGAGACAGGCCCTTGGCTCAAGGTGCGCCTTTCGCCTGTTTTACTCAGAGGCACCTGAGTTCAAATCCAGGTCCTGCCCCCAACAGGACTCGGCCTTGGACATTTTCCGTAACCTCCCTGGGCCTGAGCGTCCTTGGTGACAAGGTTGGGTTGTGGAATGAGACTCCCCGCAGAGGGTGGGCGCTGCCACGGCATGGATCGTGCCGGCAGAGAGCCCGGCACGGCGCCTGCTTTCCCGGAGTAGTCCCACACCACCGGCCAGACCGGACTACTACCGAGCGGCGTCCTGCAGACTCTTGGGGGGCCCTTTCGTGTACGGCACTCCCGCCGGGGGTGCACCCTCCCAGCTGTAAGTCCTGAGAGGCAGATGTCCTCCGCTGGTGCCCTTCCACAGAGAAGGCCCTGGACGCGTCGTCTCTCTGCCCCATTTGCTTCACTTCCTGGGCTCCCTGGGTCAGCAAAGGGCACCCTCGACCCCAGTTCGCCGGGCTCTTCCCTGTCCCTGGGGGAACAGACCGCTCTCCACACAGGATCGGGACTGGGAAGGGGCCTGCGCGGGAAGTGCCGGAAGCACCCCCGCCCCCAGGTCCTTCTCTGAGCCGAGACCCGGAGGGGCCTGCCGTCTGTGAGCGGACACTGCGGCAGGGTCCACTGAGAGTTTGGCCCGACCAGGCCTGGAGCGCACGGGGCTGGCTGCAACTTGTCGGTCAGGTGCTCGGGCCCCGGGATCAGCAAACCGGGCCTCCCGGAACCCCAGGCTTCAGGGGAATAGTGTCCTAGCGGGGCCCAGGCGCATCGAGAAGGAGGCTGACCCGCTGCAGCCCTTTCATGAGAGATGTCCAGCTCCTACGGGCCTCTGTCTGGGGTCCCAGGCAAGAAGACTTGCCTTGAAGAAAGGTTCCTGTTGACAAAGGCTGGGTGGTAAGTGCTTCCACGCGGCTCGGTTAAGACTTCCCGCAGCAGAATCTCCAGGGACGGGACCATACACCTGCACTGTTACTAGGCCCCCGCTGTAGCACAAGGTCTGTTTACCTTTCAGCACGGGGCCTCCCTATTAGAACAGTAAGGCCGGGCGCTCTCCACTCCCAGGTACAATGAAAGGGGGTGTTCACGGCGGAGATGAGGAGACAGTATAAATGGGGGGTGGGGGCAGCAGTAACCAGCCAGAGACCCGGGCTTAGGAGGGCCTTGGACGCGTTGGGGAGATGGGGCCCAGGCCCCCTGTCCCGCCGGCAAGGCCTCCTTCCCCGAGAGCCTTGGAGGGCCCACGTGTCCTTTTTTTATTAAGGAAGGTGGCATTTCCTGAGGCCTTGTAGGAGCCCCTGCCCTGCCCCCCGCCCCCATGAGAGTCAAAATACGGGACGATTCCACCCACAGGTGCACAGAAAAGGACTTGGCTTCAAGGGCAACCATGACTTTGAACTAAAAGGCAGATTATTTTCTTTTCCTTCTTTTTTTTCCCCCCTTGCAAGCTCCCGCAGCTCCCTGGGCACATTCCAGGCGGAGCACGAGGGCATCAGGTTATGGAGACGCTTGAGGAAATATCGTTCCCGCTAATGTGAGGCAGAGATCTCGGGGCCCCGAGCAACACACCCCCTGATCGATGGCCTAACACGATGTCCAGTCGCCGGCCCCGACCGGGGCTGACCCTTGGGCTGGAGGGGAACCTGGAGCACCATTCCTGTGCACAGTGTGTGTATGAGCCCCGGCCGGCAGCCGCCGCCGCCGCCCACGGGGCCTTGGCCTTGGTCCACCCTGCGAGATGGCGGGATGGCGGGAGCGGAGATTGAACCGGCTCCAGAGCAAACACTCCTGGGGCCCCCAGCCCGGCTCCGCGGGCTTCATGAGCCCGGTCTGGCTGTGCAAACGGCACCCCGAGGGTTTTCCTCGTGATCTAACTCCTTCGGTAAATTAAGGAATTTTTCCAGAAGCCAGAGGCGCGGTAAATATTTCTGACAGCCTTCAGATGGCAGTTAAGCCCAGCTCCCCGAGGAGGTCCCGGGTTTCCTTCACATGAAAGGTTGCTCTTGAAAGTCTCGAGGTTGGAAACGCGGCTGTTAATTTTGCCCTGTTTATTAGGCATCAGGTTCAGGTGCGATCTGATTTATCTCCAGAGCGGGCGCTGCCCACCTGCCCCGCGGAAGGAGCCGGAGCGTGGCTGAGGGTAAAGCCGGATAGGACACATGCTAGCAGAGGCTCACTTGGGGTGGTGAGCGAGTGCATGGGTGTTTGCTGTATTACCCTCCGTACGTCCCTGAATTTATTTTCTAATAAAAAAAAAAAGACGGAGAATGAGAGAAAGACACACTCCGTCCACCGGGAGGACTCCGCAGCGACCCCTCCACACATCAGGCTCCCGTTTAGGAGCCCAGGGAACTCAGGGTTGGACAATGGCCTTCCTTCCCTCCAGAAATAATACGTCACACGATGAGCCCCGCCCACAGTCAGAATAACGGGCGGGTGATGTATCCCGCTGCATCCCGACATCCCGACAGGCAGTCTTCCACCTGAAGAATCCGGGAGCCTCCTGGACTTCATTCCACAGTGTGGGGGGGGGTGCAGAGGCGTGGGTGGCCCCGGGCTGTTCGGGAAATATCACAGGCCCCAAAAGTCGACTCTGTGAATGGCAATTTCGGCCAAGGACTCCACTTCCTAAAAACCACACTTCTCTTCTCTGCTTTCTGATCATTTCAGTGATTTCCTCCAAGAACCTCCACCTGGGTTAACGCTAAGGTCCACCAGTAGTTGGACCTGCTAAGGGGCCAGGAGGGAAGGGAATCCGCCCGCCCGCACTACCGTGGAGTCCTCGGATCCTGCAGGTTTGGGAAGAAATGAGACTGCCGGCCGGGCCTGGTGGGAGAACCGGGTCATGGAATTTCGGGAGAAGGAGGCCACGGGAGGGGCATGAATATCGCTAGGTCAGCTTTCCTGTAAAGAGGGACAGAGTCTCTCCTGCCCCAGCCCCGGGCCACACGGAGCATTCCAGTCAGGGGCCACCCCAGCGTGTGAGGGGGGCTGGGAGTTCTCACTCCAGCTGTGCGTCCAACTCACGGCTTGTCCTTTTTTTCTGCTTCACAGCCCGAGACACTTGCAGACAAAATGCAGTTCAAAAGTGGCTGGCCAGAGAACGTCAGACAGAAAGAAAAGGGGCAGGAAGAGTCACCGAGATGGGCCGCAGAAGCCGAAGGAAGAGTTTCCTTCTCAGCAGCGGGACACCGGGACTCCTTAAGCCTGTTTCCTTATTCATAAGGGCATTGGGGGTGGTGGTGGGGTGGGGGTAGGGGTGTGGGGGAGGGGGGCACTGAGACTTGTCATGGGGATTAAAGGAGACGTCTGATGCACTAAGAAGCTCCTGGTACCTGCACCTGAAGGGTCAGGTAATATTACTGATCAACAGCAACAGCATGGAACTAACGAGGGAATCTGGCTTTGTTAAAAGGTGTCAAGGGTTCTTGTACAAATCAACCCAAATTCCCACAAAAGGCTCCTCATGAGAACCCCCCTCCCCTCACTGGACATCAAGAGCCCTCCTGCCTCCTGTCTGTGGAAGTGTCTGGGTTGTGCAACAACGAACGTCTCCTAACCTTCCCTCATCGTTTCTGTTTAAAGGTAGACCTTTCGGGGTGTGGCGATGTTCGTTCCTGGGGTTCGGTGGTCTCGGCTGGTGGGCGGTCACTGAGCTGGCACGCTGCAAGAGTCTGCTGGCTCTTCATCAGCTCGCCCGGGGGACCACAAACACCCCTTCATGGGGGGACTTTGATGGAATGTTCCAGAAAAGCCAAAGCTACTTGAGGAAGATAACGGGATTCCAGTGCGCGGATGTCCTCCCGTGTGGAGCCACCGTGATTCCTGAAGCTGGTGGGGCGGCACACACCACGTGTCTGCTGGCCCTGGCGTCACTTCCCAAGGAGCAGGACCGACTTCCGTGTCTCCTCCCAGCGATCCGCTCGTTCAGTTTCCCTCGGCTTCTCGAGGGGCCAGTCAGCCGATCGATGACCGGGTTCTTCTTTGGGGGGTTCAACGTGTATTGACCGGTACTAACAGCCACCAATAAAGCTGTCTTTGCCATGAAAAATACAAGACAGACCTTTCCTCCCCCAGCCAGACAGACTCACAACCCCAGGAGGACAGAGCCGCGCCTTACTTACCTCCGTGTTCCCAGCCCGAGAATGATACATGTTTCAGTGAACGAGTGGCGATAAAAGCAACAACAACAACGGAAAACACAGAGCCACCGTGTCCCCTCACTGGGCCACTGATCCGCACTCGGAGTGACGGACGAACCCACCAGTTCCCAGACCCAGGCGCCCCGCCTACCTTCTCCAGGTGCAGGTTTATCCATCGAGTGAAGGTCCTCTTCTGCACATTCTCCCTCTCAACTGGAAACAAAGAAATGCTGTCAGCTGGGCAGAAAGAAACATGTTGCAAGATCCCGCCCTCCTCTTCGCAAGGGGGATTCTAGGCGGATGGCGGGCAGAGCCCCGGAGGGTCCCGTGTACGAATGCGAGAGGGGTGGCAAGGGGTTGGGGGGTACCTACAATCCATTTCCCCCAGCCCCGCCCCCCAGTATCTTAAATGGATGAAACATCCACGACTTCAGACGCAGAGAACAAGGTGTTCTACACGACCGGAAGGTGCACATGCAGGCACCCGACTGCCCAGCTGGAGAAGCGCTGGTGGCTAAGACACAAATTGAACCCCAAGGTGACGGTGCTGCACCCCTGCCCGGAAGGAGAGATGCAGCCGAGGAGCTGGGGCGCGGGAGAGACGGGCGAGAGGGGAGGCCAGTGACGAGGAGTGGGGGTGCGGGCTCAGGAATGTGCCAGAGTGTGGTGGAAATAACAACAGTCCTGGGCTGGGCGTCTCCCGGCCCCACGTCTGATCTGTGCACTCCCAGGCTGCTGGGAGATCCCTGCGATCCTGCAAGTCAATTAATTCAGCACGGTTCTGGGCACAATGGCTGCTCTCTCTTTTTTTTTTCTTTTTTGTCACTATGATTTCTAGAGCCAGGGAGCACTTGACCTTGGCCCGGAAGGCAGAACTCGGCAGGAGTCTGCCGCAGAGCCTCCATGAGCCGGGAGGACATAAACCAGACGCAGGTCCCTCCTCCCAGGGGACAGCCTTTCCCAAACAGTCTTCTCAGGAAAGATCTTTCGTTTTCAAGGGTTACTGCCATCTAGCCAGCACTAATTGCGTCCTGGACACTTTGTTTCCATTAATCTTTAAACCCGACGACACCTCCTGCAGAGTAGAGATTTATTTTACAGATGAACACAACGGGGCTCAGAGAGGCGCCGTGACTCGCCCAGGGCACCTGCTGCAGAGGCAGAGCTGGGCGAGACCCCCAGGTCTGTCTGCCCCCCATTCAGCACCTGGAAATGGGCGGTCGGGGTCTGAATCCCAGGAATTCCAATGATGGCAGAAGCATCTGCAATAGCTAATATCTGCAATAGCTAATAGCAATGATAATGACTTAAAAACATTTACGGAGCGCTCCTAGGTGGCAGGTACCCATCTAGGCACTGGATTGGCATTCATTAATTTACTCCTTCCCTTGGAGGCCGATGGGGAACCTGGGGCACATGCTGTAAGTCCCACAACCGCTGAGGTTAATGCTCCTCATTTGCATATGAAAAAACTGAGCATTGAATAACCAATAAGCATCAGAGTTGGGACTGGGGGCTGGACTCTGGGCTTCTCCCATTCCCTCCCCAGCTCCGTGGCCTGAGCTGGCTTGGCGCCTTAGGACCCGAAGGGAATCTCGAGATGGGTGCCGGTGCCAGTCCCAGGGCTGGGTGCTGGGTGGACCCAGGGCTGGGTGCTCGGTGGACCTGGCAGCGGGCCTGCGGCTCGCGCCACTACGCCTCCTTAGGAAGCTTGAAATGTCGGCATCGCCGACTCCCGGCTTGCCAAGTTCTGGATTCCAGCATGCTGGAAGAACACATCACACATGCTTAAAACCATTTCACATTTCTTTAGCAATAAGAAAATGAGAGGCCATTTATCTCCTGGGGGAGCCAAAAAAAAGGCTCCAGTTTTCTGTAACGACTGTGGTTCCTTTTTCCTCTCAGCCTCATTATTGGGCAGATAGTGGTGCCCATAAATCAAATTTTAATATTGTGCCTTTCAATCTTTCTAATTGAAGAGGCAGCAGACAGTCATTATGCTTTCTATGACCGGCTTTCTCTCGTTTTCCTCCTTTTCTGTAAGGGGAGGGCACTGCCGGCGAGCAGGCACAAGGACTGAGTGTCTCATTCTAGTAAACCGTTTCGGGGGGAGGAAGGGGAAGGAGAAAGGAACAGAAGTTGAGAGAAATGAGGTAGGGAGGGGGGCGTTCGCTGGGAGCAGGAGTGACGGAGTCCCAGAGCTTTCTGGGAGGTTGGAGACGCCCTCCCGCAAACCCCGTTTTAGCCTCTGCGGCTTTTCCGTAGGACGGGTGTCCCGGCCCCGCGGCCGCCCCTCTGCAGAGGGGCACTCGGCTCCCGCCTGAGTGTCGCTGTGAGGAGCAGCCCTGCTCAGGCCCCCGGGGGCGCGGCTCTCGGTGCATGAGCCCACGGGTAAGTTTCTCGGGCCTGACAGCGAAAAGTGAAACTGCCAGGCCTCGGTGGTAGGCACATTTAAAATTTTAATAGCTACTTCCAAACTGCCCTCCCCAAAGGCTGCCCCAGTTTATACTTTCACCCCCAACTGTCTTTAAACAAGTTTATGGGGATTGTAAAGTATTTACACACACATTCAAACACTCAGGCTGGCTTCTCCATATGGCTTCAGAGAGAGCAAAGTATGAAACAGAAGTGCATTCAGGGAGAGCCTGAGAGAACCGGGGTTAGCTGCTGGTTTAACTGTGCAGAAAGGTGTAAATGAGGAAGTGGGTGTCTGTTAGTCCGCATGTGCTTCATCCATCCATCCATCCATTCACCCATCCATTCATCCATCTATCCATCTATCCACCCACCCACCCACCCATCCATCCACCAGTCCGTATGTCCATCCATCCATCCATCCATCCATTCATCCATCCACCCACCCATCCACCCACCCATCCATCCATCCATTCATCCATTCATCCCTCCATCCATTCATCCACCCACCCATCCATCCATTCATCCATTCATCCCTCCATCCATCCATCCACCCACCCATCCATCCATCCACCCATCCATCCATCCATTCATCCATTCATCCCTCCATCCATCCATCCACCCACCCACCCATCCATCCACCAGTCCATCTGTCCACCCACCCACCCACCCATCCATCCACCAGTCCATCTGTCCATCCATCCATCCACACATCTTGATACTTCGTCACTGATGATTACATGCCAGACACTATGCCAGACCCTGCAGGCATAATCAGAGATAAGGAATTAGGCAATCACAGCATCGGCGCTCCAAGAATTCACAGCCAAGTAGGGGCGAAGGCACGGGCACCACAAAGCACACGTGGAAGGGGAAATGAATCAGAAACTTCCAGGACTGAAGGGATGGGAGGAGGTGACCTTAGACCCCATGGGGATGTGAGATCTTCCAGGAACCGGAAGAGGAGGCCACGGCAGAAGCGGGGACATGGCGGGGCTCCCGAAGGCAAGGGCACCATTCCCAGCTCGGCCCCGATCCGGAGCCGACCTCAGGGAGGCGTCAGCTCCATTCCAGCCGCGGCCAGGGGGCAAACCCGGGGCCAGACTGGCTTGGACAGCAAAGGTGCCCCGTGGGAGGGCAAGGGGGTGGCTGAAGATACGGAGGGGCCAGGAGGCTGAGTCATAAGTGAGAGACGAGTCCCAAACTGAAATCGGGCAGAGACCACCTTCTCTGAACCTGAAACTGGGACACACCACTCAACACAGAGGAGAGAGAGTACGTGGCCGGGCCCGGAACATCCACGCGAGAGCCACACGCCATGAGCTGGGCGACCTTGGGCAAGGTCATCATTTTCCAAATACTTTGCCTCAGCGTTCACTCTGCAGAAAGAGGGTAACTGTGCCTCCCTCACAGGCGGTCACCCCAAAGGCACCCCCAACGGCCATTCTGTAAGACCTTTCTCCTGGGCCCCACGGTCCACGGCACGCCGAGGCCGTGGGCTATGTTACCTGGTGTCCGACACGACAGTCTGACACGCGCTCACAGATTTATCCATCTCGGAACCCCCACCCCCACCCTCTTCTACTTCTAGCCTGCCAAGACTCCATAAACTTTATACAGTTTCCATAAATCCAACGGCCCCTTTTTTCCACCGCACCTATCACGTTGTAAAGGTGTAGGAAACCATTTCTCAGGAAGGGTCTGGCCCTCTCACGCGGTGTTGGTGGGGCCCGGTGTGGGTTTACTGGGCAAGAACAGAGTCCTAACAGCGCAGTAAAAGCGCCGTCCCCGGCTCTGCCTGGCCAGCCGGGGTGCCTGAGTGCCGGCCAGGCTGGAGGAGGCACTCAGCAGGCCCAGGACGCCGGGGACAGAGACGCAAAGGGAGGCCCCTCCTGCAGGCCTCACGCCACCATCTGAGAACTCCCAGGCGTGAGTCCGGCCCGGCTGCGCCCACAATAGACAATGACAATGGGAGCGTGAACAGCGTGACCTTCCTGTCTTGTCTTCCGCAGGAGCTGGGAGCCACAGAGAGAGGGACACGGCCCGGAGCTCAGAGAGCTTCACCGACACGTGCGGCCTCCGTTCCCTTGTCCACATCCCCGCCCACCCACGTCCTATGTCACAGCACCTCTAACGTGTCTGCCCTTCCCGCCCAGGAGGAAGGCTTGATGGCTTTATCGGTTTATAAACATTGTCCACTCGTTAAGCAAACCCAGACAGGAAAGCATAGAGAAATGTATCTAAGATCTCAACATCTCGCCATCCCCAGGGTCCAGCGCTATGGACACTTTACTGAACACCCTTCCGGAAACACACACAACGCACGCACACACACACACACACGGAGACAATGTGTGTAGACAGATACTCCTGTCCACAGTTTCCATGTGATCCATCCAAGACCCCACGCTTCTCGAAGCAGGGCCCACGGATCACCCGTGGGGAGCCTCCAGGTGACGGTTCGCAAGCCAGTTCCTGGCCCCCACCCCTGATCTACTGACTCTCTCTCGCTGGGGCTGAGGCATTAAACCAGCTCAGGGGGAGACGGCGGTGCCCCGACAACCCGGGTGCCCGCTGGGGAAGAGACGAGTGGCACAATTCCTGGGCAGAGCAGAGCGTGCCATGGGCACATGGCCTGGCCCACGGGGGACAGACAGCACAGGGCTCCCCCGCAGACCGGGGGACGGGGCGCGGCACGTGACTCCCAGGCTTGTGACGATCACATGTGACACTGCTGACCGGCACCGGGCAGGAAAAAGCCACTTCCTTTTCTTCTCTGTCCAAAGGGCTCTTCCTGA